TCACCACCCATATCCCTTATTTGTCTCACCTTAATCATTATAATATAAATTTTCATAATCTAAATTAACAAATCTCCTTACCTAATTCAATAGATTAAAAAGTTGTCCATCCTCTAATTTTACTAACATTTACAATCCATTCTTCTGTTTTTTTCCCCATACTGACGTTTAGCACTAAATCAAAACCAATTTATCATAATTTGGTGCAACCAATTTATGGGAGTTGGCCACAAGCAGCTATCATATTTGGACCCACTTCTAATAATAAAATGAAGGCCCAATTCCTTTTCTACTATGAAAAAGGAAAAAACGTTACCCTTGAGTTTTGAACAACCGACAACATTGCCATCACATTTTCCATTGGGCCAGTCCACTACTTGTGTTTACAGTGTATTAGTGTAATATATATATATATATATATATATAGATATATAATATTTTTTTATGTATATAAATATATTAGAAATATATAAACGGTTTGGTCCAGTTGAAACGGCCTGGTTAAAACCTGATTTTATAGTTTAAAATTTTGACTATTGGCCTGCCGTGAATGCCTTTTTAAACCACCAAAACCGGCCAAATATATATGGTTCTATCGGTTCAGTCAATTTTGAATAAACCATGCATACCCTACTTCCAATGGAGGCTCTACAACAACAAGATACATTTCAACCTTCATGTCCCAATACTGATTATTGCCACTTCATCTATTTTCAACCCTATTATGACTTGTGAAATTTAACCCCAAAAAACTTGTTTTTCTTTTTCTTTTCTTTGTACAAAAGTAGGCTAAACCACAACTCATGATTCTGAAACTGAAAAATTGTAATTGATGTGTGGAGGTTCTGTTTCCGATTATTGTGATTTTGGAACCTCCTGGCCCAAAATTGAAACCATTGATTCCAAAACTGTGGACAGGCCAACCTACATCAAGCACATAAAGTACAATAATACAATTATTCATAATAAAGAAAACTGCAAAAGGCTATATGACCTTGAAAGACTAAATTCTAGGTTTGATTCCAAATGAGAGAACATTCAAAGGTTAGATTTTCAACTTAGAAAGTTATATCTCCTTAATTACTGTGACCACACAAGTTATAAAAGTATTCTCGGGTAGTTCTTAACAATATCTTTTTTTTTTAGGGTACAATGAAGGAGGCTAAACCTTGAAGTTGATTTTTTCTATTATGCAGATTCTGCTTTTCATTTGTGTTTGGAGTTGAAGCTTTGTCATCCAACAGGGTCATTGTATTGGTTCGGTCAACCCGAAACCGAACTGAAGAACCCAAAATTTTATTCGGTTGGTTTGCTTAATGTTATAAATTATGCAGTTCAGTTTCGGGCGTGTGTGAGGAAAAAATCAAATAACCTAAATTGAACTTCACCCGAACTACCCAAACCACCTGAATTAGTAACCCTAACTTTAGACCAAAATTTTCATATTTTTAATCATTATCATTTCATGTTCATCAACTTTTTAAACAAGCCAGAAACTTGTTTAATAACCAGTAAAAGCCACATCAAAATAGGTACATAATAAAATAATTTTGATTAACTAAGATTAAATTTTAAAAAAAAATTTCCTAATAAATTATTTTAAAAATTCAAAAAAAATAATCATATTAATATATAATATTTTTTTTTCCCTTTTATAGTCCAACTCTTTATTTTATCCGACTAACCATTTTCTTTTTTGGTGAAAAGGTAAATTTTTACTGGGAGACTACTAAACGCCCTAAAAATGTCCCTTGAACGCCCTAATATAACACCAAAAGACCTTTTTGCCCCTACATGATTTTATAAATTAAGAGTTTCAATTTCATTCTTTCAATTCCTAAATTAATCTTTCATTTCAAATTCTCTCAATCCAAACTCCAAAAAACTTAGATTCAATGGCTGAACGAATGAAACGGCTACGGAAAGAACTACGGAAACTAAAGGTACGTAAAAATTTGAATTGTTTTTTTCAATTATATTTATTTTGAACTATTTAAAAAAAAAAAAACAAACCAGCCCCGGCCGGCGAGGGAGATCCGCCCCGGGGCAAGTAGAGCTAGCGCCTGGCGACTGGCGCCGGTCATATGCCGGCGCCGGTTTTTGTTTTTTTTTTTATTATATTAATTTTATATATTATTTATTTAAATTTAATTGTTATTTATGAATTGTATAGTAATTTTAATTTAATTGTTACTATTAGTAATTGTAAATCGTATGAAATTTAGTTTAATTATTTATTATTAGTTAAATTTATGATCATGATTTTATAGTTTAATCGTAGAAATTTATTTTTATTAGTTTAATTTATTTAGGAAACATTATTATTAAAAGTATATGTTTAATCTTCAGTAAATAATTTAGTTATAATACTTTTGTAGTTTTAGGAATTCAATTGTAGTTTTAGGGAGCTTCACAATTTTTAAATTAATTTGGAAAATTATGAAAGTTATTATAATTAATTTAATTATAGAAAATATTAAGATTAGTCGGTTTAATTGTAATTAGCCTCAAAAAAAATATTAAATGTAGAAATTAAATACTTAGTATAGGAAAATTAAATAAATAAGTACAAAGTAAATAAAAACAGAGGTTAGTAGATAATTAGAGTTAATAAAATATTTATTTAATTGTGGTTAAAATTAAATAATAAATTAAATATTTATTTAATTTTGGTTAAAAAATAAAAAAATAAAATATATAGATATTATTAATTGTACTTAGTAGATTTAATAAATTGTACACTTAAGATGTATTGTAGATAATTTTATAATTAGGTATTTAAATAATATAAAACTGTATTAAAGTAATTAGCCTAAATTATTAATTTATTGGGACGCATTCATGATTAATTAAAGTTACTTGTAAAATTTAAACTTTTGTAGGATGGGATATCGCCTCTTGAGGGATCTGGACATCGGCATGCAGTTTCGCGCAATCTGTATGCAGAACATCGTATGAAAAAGAAAAAAACTTAAAGAAAGTGAAAAATGTACATCCTACGTTTGGCCCGCTTGGTGAGTCAGCCAACGTAGATGACGATGATGATTTTGAGGGAGAGGAAGAAGCAGAGAATAGTTTTGAGAGCGGGGGGGACGATGTGGATGAGGAGGATGAGGTAGCCGAGTATTCCTCGTCTGAGAGGAGGGATATACATTTTGGAGGTAACTCAGTACTAAACCCCATTGGTCGTACTGATGATCAGACTCCAGTTTACCCTACCCGGGGGGAAAAGGGAGGGGGGGGGGGAGACCCTTGTTGGATTATCGGCCCTGAATTCAGCTTACACTCCTGGTGGTTCCAGTGTTCGTGTCGGCCCGTAAAGTACTCTTTTTAGAGGTCCCAGTACTACTCTTCATCATGCCGGCCCACAGAGTACTCTTTTTAGAGGTCCCCCTCTGACTAGTCAGCCTCGTTCCCGTTTTGGTGGCGCATCCATTAGTGCCTCTAGCCGTCCTGAGGCAGCTGCAACGTCATCAGGTACGTATTTGTAAATATTTCAGCATTCATTACTGCTTGGTCAATTTCTTAATTGCATTCGGTTAAATATTTATCAACTATTCTTTATTCGGGTTTCAAGTACTAGCAGACGGTCTAAGGTTTCTAACGAAGAAATTGATGAGTGGGTTGTGACGGACGACGTACCTAGCGGGCCATGTGATGGGTCAGTGATTCTTAGTTTCTTTGCCACACTGCTTATCAGTTGTGGAATGGAGAACCAGGAGATTACATGACGATGAAGCCAGCGAAGAAGAGTTTATCTAGATTGCATGGATTGTATGCGAGGTTGCCGCAGAACGCACAGTTGCAGATTCAGAATACCGGTTTGTATCATCTCATTGATACCATGGGTGGATTATGTACCACGACTTCCAGGAGCCATACATGCCGGAGAGAGTGCTACGCCAGCTCGGTTACGTGCAGTACATACCTCATGCGCCGCTCACGCCGGTCACTCAGTTTCGCAGAAAAAATGTGCACAAGTATTTTGTTGATCGTCCGAGTGCCGAGACCTGTAACTGTTGGGTTAGATTTCCGGAGTCGGAGTGTAGGAGCCATTCACATCCATTCCTACTGCCGAAGTCCGTCCCGTCTACATCACGCATCCCAGCGAAGAACTGCACCACTTACGTAAGTTCAACACTAACTGGAATTTTATTTTAATAACACACGTACTATCTTCAAGGGTTTAATATGGTTTTATTTAATATTTGTAGTGGATGCGTGAGATGGAGAGGTTGACTCAAAGTTGTATCGACGATTTGAAGAAACTCGATCTGGGTGAGGAGTGGGATACTCGCCTGGATGATGTCATCTTCCGTCACAGTCAGGCCTCATAACATTCTACTTAGTGCTTTTATTTTTAAAACATTTACGTAACGATTTCGTTTTTGTGAACGTTGTGGACTTATGTTGATTTTCAATTTTATTTTCATTTATGTGAACATTTATGTAAAGAGATCATAAAATGTAATAGAAATTTCACCAATTGCATAAAAAAAATATATAAACAACATATCACCCGAGATCACAAAATTCTCGTGTGGGTCTTATCGGGACCAAAGTACGCCATAGTTGCATTCTGGGTTCAAGAGGTACTTCCCAACCAATAACACTACTATCACGATCATGCCGCCAACTGGGGTGAATAGGGGGAATCAGAAAATCACCCTGCAGATTGAGTCGAATGAAGAGCTGGTAAGGCTCAAGGTGGCATATAACTATCTGGAACTCTGGTCTTGTTGCCCCGCCCCGTGCGATCAGTGGTAGCACAGTCCAACAGGTGCCATTTAGATTTACAGCACCGTCTGTTCTGAAGTAGTACATAACATCATTGAAATATGTAGCAAGGGGATAAAAGTCCTCTGTCGACATCCAGTGACCTATGAAGGTACCAGTCCACCGTATATACTCTAGGCTTTCAGGTAACTTTTCCCACCTAGAAAGACAAGTAAAGGAAGGTTTTAAATAAAACAACATTGATGCAAGTGTATTAAAACCGCTCACAAAATTAAACTGGCTTCATATCCGTAAAGGTTCTCGTACAGCCTAGGGTTATTTATAACCTCATCATACACTATCTGTCTGTACAAAACATGATTATTCTGCCCTCCCAACATGCAACTCGCAAAGACACGGAAACCACAATTGCCGTCAGGAGTGACATCAAGATATGACTGAACATGGTTGTGGAGTATCTGCGGAATCTTATTCTTATGCCTAAACTTGAAAAAGTCTGTCTGCATCACATCTTTAACCAAGTAAAATAATATCATTATTTCTGGATTACATATCAGTATTTAATAACAATATAAATTATAATCGTACCTCTGCCATTGGGTTCAGAACCCAACGTGTGGCCTCTACTAGAACTGCTGGTGTTCGTCCCACCTTGCCCAGTCCATGTATCTGCTCTCGCACGCCATGAAACAAAAGTGCTTTAATTAAATGAAAATAATATTTCTTACATTTAAAAAGATAAAGTAATATTCGACCTCTGCTCTGATCTTCAGCTCCCGACGTGTGGCCTCTACTAGAACTGTGGGTGTTCGTCACACCTTGACCCGAGGTACCTTGGCTCGTACCTGCTTTACTGGAACCGCTGGCATTGGTGCCACCCTGACTGCCGTCCCTGTATGCCCACACATTTGGTTTGTCTTGTTTTCTTTTCGAGATGTCTCTTTTCTTCGGCCTGCCCTTACCTCTCTTTCCAACCCGCGGTTCATTCGATCCGGCTTGGCCCGGGTGAAGTTTGTTGTACATCAATCTGGTGATCTCACACTGTATTGGCTCCTCAGCAGCATCCAATTCTTTCACTAACTACCTGAACAACAATCTGTGAGGGGGAACATCATCTGAACTATCCTTCTCTGTAACCTCACCGATGAAGGCATGCTTTGGCACATTTGCAGTAGCCCAAATACATCTTGCATTAATGTCCTTCTCACCACCTCCAATCAACCATTTGTAGCCTGAAGTTACAGAATATTTGCCATTCTTCTGACTTTTCCATTTCATTCCTTCAACACCTCTGAACATATCACGCAGCTTCAAAAGCTATTTCCAGTGCCAGCTGGTATCAGCTTTAGGAGCTACATCCAGGAAATTCGCTTTTTTAATGTATACTCCATGGATCCACCTGACCCATAGTGCTTCCTTTCGCTGAATCAAGTGCCAGACTTGCTTAAAAATAGAACCCTTATTCCACAGCCTTGCATCCTTGATCCCCAATCCACCCTCTGATTTAACTTGACACACTTCCATCCAGTTTACTTATGAAAGAACTCTACCATCATACTTCCCCCCCCCATAGATACACCCTGCCTACTCTATTTACCATTTCAATCACCTTTTGGGGTAAGATAAACATACTACCCCAGTAAGCATGCATTGTCATCATGACTGAGTCAACAAGGGTCAGCCTCCCAGCATACGACAAATGCCTGGAACTCCAGCATCTAATCCTGGCTACCATCTTGCTGACAATACACTGGCACTCCACCTTACTCCATGTTGTTGGTGCCAAAGAAATCCCTAGATACTTCATAGGGAAAGAACCACTTCGAAATCCAGTGATCCTGCAGAATTCTTCTTTTTCCCCATCCCCAACAACCACAAAAAAGATCTCAGACTTCTGAAAAATCTTAAAAACATCCATAATAAGTTTAACAGTTGGAATATCAGCCTTGCAGAAGATCATAAGATCATCTGCAAAGCAAATATTTGTAAGTTTCAACTGTTTGCATAGTGGATGAAATTTAAAACCTTCCCTAGCTATATTCTTCAAACTGCGGGTCAAATACTCCATCACGAGAACAAACAACAAAGGAGAGATAGGATCTCCCTGTCGTAATCCCCTTTGACCATCAAAATACCCCACAGAACTACCATTTAGGGATAATGTAAAAGAAGTAGTTGATATGCAAATCATAACCCACCTTCTGAATGGTTCCAGAAATCCAAACCCTAACAATAATTCCTCTATAAATTCCCACTCAACTGAATCATATGCCTTTTTTAAATCTACTTTCATCAACAATCAACCACTAATGCCTTTTCTACCATATAATCTAACAAGCTCTTGCGTAATAAGAACATTATGCATGATGAGCCTATTTTCAACAAACGCACTTTGATTTTCATCTACTAAGCATGGCAATACTACTTTCAGTCTATTACATAGAATCTTAGAGATACATTTGTAAATAACATTGCAACATGGTATAGGCCTAAAATGATTGGCATTCAGTGGGTTTTCTATTTTCGGAATTAAAAAGCTAAGGTAGTGGAGTTTATTTGTTTGAGTACCTGTCCTATGGCAAAGAACTCCAGCACCGCATCCGTCACGTCTTTCCCCACCACTTCCCATGCAGCTTTGTAAAAACCAGCACCAAATCCGTCAAGTCCTGGGCTCTTGCACGAGTTCATACCCCAAATTGCTTCCTTTACTTCTTCTTGGCTGACATGTCTAATCAGTTTTACTTGTTGATCACTGTTCAACACCTGGCTAGCTCGAAAGATCCCAGTCTTGGACTTCTTTTGCATTGAAGACATCCCTAGCAGATTCTGGTGAAATCCAAAAACTGTTTTTGAATTTCCTCCCATTCAGTATATTCAGTGCCATCATCCTCAGTGACTGACCAGATTCTATTTTTCATTCGTCTAACTTTCAAAACTGAGTGGAAAAATTTAGTATTTGCATCTCCCTCCTCCATACACCATTCCTTAGCTTTTTGTTGTAGGAAACTATTAGCAGCTTTCCTTTGCTTTATATATTCGCAGTAAGCATTCCTTTCCTCCAATTACAGCTTCACATTGCTAGCATCCCTACTCAATAATTCTTGTTTAGCTTCCAATATCAACTGTTTCCTCTGTGCTTCCTCCACCACATCCCCAAACTGTTCTTTATTCAACATTCGCAATGGACCTTTTAATAACCTCAATTTAAAACAAACCTGGAACATTTTAATCCCTTCAACCTCTGTTTCCCAAATCTTCTTAACGATATCCTTAAACTGTGGAGATAGACTCCACATGTTAAAATATTGAAACGGACTCGGTTTCCTCTGCATTTCCCCTTCAAATTGCAACACAAGAGGCGAATGATCTGAGATATTTTCCTCCAATACTGAAACAATTGAGTCACTATACAAGTCAACCCATTCCCCATTTACTAATACTCTATCGATTCTTGAATTCACCTTCTCAGTCCCGATCCTATGATTGCACCAAGTGAAGAACTTCCCTGTTTGCTGAAGGTCACTTACTCCACATGCATCCAAACAATATTGAAAGCTTTCAAACTCCTTTACCTCCACAGGTTTTCCCCCCATCTTCTCTTCGGGATGTAGTACATTATTGAAATCCCCCATCCAAACCCAGGGGCCCTGGACCTGCTGAGATAGTATAATCATCTCCTCCCATAACTTATTCCTTTCACTGGCATCATTGGAAGCAGAGATGCAGGTGAAATGGAATTGTTGTCTATCCTTCTTCCGCAAACATATACAATGTACATACTGTTCAGTTTCCCCAATCTTCAAAACCTCCACACTATTGTCCCATAATAATATAATTTTCCTCTATCATTCGAATTGTAGTTTGTTAACCAGTTGTACCCCTACCAGAATTGTTTCAGGTACTCTTCCCCTCTTCTTTGCACCAGTTTCGTCTCTACCAATCCAATAATATTGTATTCACCCTGATTCACTCTCCTTTGCAACTCTCTTTGTTTCAGGGGAAAGTTTAAACCCCTAATATTCCATACCAGGATTCTACTCATTGGAAACAGGTCCAGGATCAATCAAGATGCCTTTATCCTTCCCACAACTTATGTCAGTGTTATTCCCAGTGTCGGGTTCACTAGTAACTTTATTAAGGTTCTCAAAAGAAGAACACCTAACAGTTACAACCTGATTATCTGCAACACTAGAAATAGCTCCTTTATCTCTCAGAGTGCCATCCCCCATTTTATTCCCTTCTTTACTGCGTAGCTCCTTTACCATTTCCTTCCCAGGTTGGCTTGAACCTTGAGCAATCTCTAACCCTTTCTCAGCATCTTCTTCCCTTACCTCCTTCCCTTTTACAACTCTCTTCCATTCCGAACTCGGAGTTTTAGGTTAGGCTATCTCAACCTTCTTCTTCAATCTACAACTTGCTATTTTATGTCCATAACCATGGCCTCATACATTGGGTTGGGGTCCATTCATACACCACATTCTGGACCTTAATATTACCTACTTCATCTCTATTCGATCAGACAAAGTTTCAGATATCACCATTTCAACCAAGATCCTAGCATATTGTACCCTACTTTTTGTAACTGTATACTAATCAGCTTGAATAGGGAAGCCTAGTGCACTAGCCAACCTACCCAAGCTTTCTAAGTTCTAGTATTTTAATTCTAATCCATGCAATTGAATCCAAACTGATACCTTATCCACATCCCTGAAATTCAACCCCATCCCTACACTCCATGGTTTGACAATTAAAGGCTTATTACCAAAATTCCTAATATTAATATTAAGAACTTCATCCCTAGCCCCAGCAGTCTTAAATCTCACAACAAAAATATCATAGGGCAATTGGATTACCTGCTCAATTCCCAGTCGCCCCCATGCTCTCTTGAAGAAATCTTCCATTACCCATTTTGGGGGACTCACTCCCAGAACGAAGCAAGCAACAGCGTTTTCCCAAAATTCTTCTTCAGCCTGGACATCTTCCACTCGAATTTTAGCCACCACTTGCCCATCTCTCTGACATGGAGGAGTGAGCTTCAGCTTACCAATCAGAGCTTTTAATTTCTCAGCACCAGATCCATCCCAGACTGCAGCTCCGTCTACTGCCCTTCTGTTCTCATCCCAGTTGAGTTGCCTCTTAGTATGCTTTTCCTTCCCTCTTACTTCCTGTGCATCTAGAATTTTCCCACTAAAACACCCATCAGAGAGGTGAGCTACGTTCCCCTTACTTAAACAACCCATCCCTTCCTCTGGCGTAAACATCTCCTTGTTTACCGATCTCTTCGAAGAAGCCCTAGATGAGGCAGTCTCGATCTCCATAGCCAATCTCTCTAGTTCCTCGTCTTGCTGAACCCTAATCGACTTCCCCAATTCCTTTTTTTCCTTCACACCATCAGAACCCACAAAATTTTCCCCTTCAAGACGCGATTCCTTGTCATTAGTGGTGATTTTCACTCTCCCCTTCCTTCTTCTGCCCACCATGGCGAACGTTCAAAGTCTGAATATCGAAAGAAAGAAGACGAAGTTTTCACCTACTCAAACGTGAAATCGCCCACACTTAGCGCATGACAGAGAGCGTGTATTAACCACGATGTTATTTATGCATTATTTTATAAATCAATTGATAACTCTATAGTTTGATAAAAATCTCCCGACTAACCATTTTCACAAACTCTAAAATCTTGAATTTTTTATTGCCATGTTCTTTTATCCCTTTTTTATACATTCACCTTCAAAAAATTCAAAATCCTAATTCATTTCACTTTATCCATATTTTTTATGTCAGACAAAAAAAAAACAATACAATGAATGTACTCATTTTACCATTAACAACAAAATAATCAAATGATCGAGGAAATTGTGGTTTTGGTAGTCGAGGAAGTGGGGGTAATACTTTTAATTTTGCATGAAGATGAATATATATATATATATATATATGTTGATGGTTGTGGCGCAAGTTGAGATAAAAAATGTGACATTTAGAAACATATGGGAACATCAAGTTCGAAAATTGCTGTAAATTTGCAGCGCAGCAACGTGAAACCATGCCAAAATGTGAAGCTTGTGAACATAGACTTGGCTTATGACGGCCCCATTGGAGGACCTTCATTAGCATTTTGTTTCAATGTCTATGGTGTTGCTTATGGAAAACAAGTTCCTTCTGGTTGTGTAATCTAAAGTAATCATCATCATCACATCAATTTATAGCCTTTTTTTTCGGTTTTGAACTTATAGTTTAATTTATAGATAGGTTAAGGGGTTTGACCTAGCTAGACTAATTTATTGTTGATATTTACCATCAAATCTCCTATAGCTAGAATGTTGCAGCAACAATTCATATGAGATTTGTGCATCTAGACTAATTAATCATACACATTCAATTAAGAAAAAAATGTGTTGATGGTTGTGGTTGCATAACGATTGTGGTTACATATACAGATGCAGTTGCAGCTGAAACTTATTTTACTTGTAGAACATATCCATTGTTTTGGTTTATTATTGACGTAATAATTGCAGATAAAGTAAAATAAGATAAGATTTTGAATATTTTTTGAGGTAAATTAAATGGTAATACAAGACTAAAAGGATGAAATTAAAAATTCAAAACAAAAATAAATTGAAAAAGTGGTTAGTAGGGTAAAAATAAAGGATGAAAGTCAAAAATGAAAAAATATATTTAGATTTTTTAAAATTTATATTTGAAAAAATAATTTATTATGAAAATTTTTCATAATTTTAATAGTATATTTTATTATTTCGGAAATATATTTCACTAGCTATATTATTATTTCATTGATTTTAAACTTTTCTGAGATAAAAAAAAAAGTATATTTAATTGGTTCAGTAGGCCAAAATTAAAATTTATCTCTATTCACCAAAAGAAAGAAACCAGGAATAGTAGTAGTTCATTAAGCAAGAGAAAACGATCCCTACAACAGTATTATGAACAACCAAAAACTTAGTTATTTTCAAATCAAGTTTTCCGACAAGCCGTTGCTCCCTTTAACAATCCTTAAAAACCACGATAAATGGAGGAATCGATGAGAAGAAATCCCTCTCAAATCGGCCACACATGCCAGATTTTTCCTGAAACTATCAGAAGTTACGTACTGATGTTTAAATCAACTTTCTTTTGGACCAATAACAAAAACAATTGAACAACTAGAAAAAACAACCATAACCTTTGGAAAATAGTGACAAAAATCAAGTTTTTTTTTTTTTTTACAAAAACAATGATAATAAACTAACATTTGAAACCTCAATAATGACTTCTGTTTCGTACTCTATTTTTAAAGTTTTAACACATCTTAATCCTATCATTCAAATCATCAACAAAACAAAAACTCACACCAATCCCTTTAACACTAGTCTCATTTCTTTTTGCACAAATTGGATTGTTACAACGAGTTTAGTGATAAGTAGTCATAACAAGATCAATAGTAGTAGATATAATAAAATTAGGAGTACTAAAATGAATCAAATGATAGTTTAATCATCAACCTGGATCGCTTAACGCCGGCCACCATACTTTCCAAGTTCTAAACTCCAACTTCTAATGGTCCCAAAATCTTTGGCTTAAACCCAAAAGGATGGGAAGAAGCAAAAAAATCTAATGAATTAACACACTTTTATTTTTTATATATAATTTAAACTAGACTTTATAATTTTTTAAGTGAACACAAATTAGGTCATCGAAATTTTTTTATTGAAAATTTTACTGGGAAAACATGGCGGTTAGACCCAAAGCTTAGGTCTCATCGCCAATTCTACTCCATTGACTTTTAGTTAGTCAATTTTATCCTTTATGTTTCAAATTTTTGCCAATTTCGTCCAATTTGCCCAATTTCGGTTAAAGTTAATGGATTTTCATTAATTTTTAACCAAAAACACCCCAATAGTTTAAAAAATTATAAAAATAACCCTCAAAATATATAAACTAACAAAATAATTCCTTTTTACTTTTTATTCATTTTTTTCTATTTAATTTTTTTTTTTTTGAGAAAAGAAAGTTTCATGAAACTTGGTAGAATTCAGCGAGCTCTGATTGATACAAGAAACTTGACAATGATTGCTAAGTTGTTACAGAAGACACATAAGACTTAGAATGGGTTGCAAAAAAATGAGCAATTCCATTCGATGATGGAAGTATCCAATATAATGATGAAAAAGAAAGCTCCGTCAGAAGAGCCCTAATTTCGTAAAGGACTGGAAGGCATTAATAAGAACAGTCAGCTTCTCCTATAGATGCAAGAATTGCCACTAATGAATCTCCCATGATCGTCGTATTACGAATATTAAGGTATTTAAGCACAAGGAGGGCTTCCTTTAGATCTAAAAATTCTGCCATCTCCGATGAATTAATGCCATTTATACGCCGGCCTCTTGCAAGCATAAAACCACCAGAAGTATTTTTAACTTATACTCCTAGCCCAACACAATTCTGGGTATATGATATAGCACCATAAAAATAGATTCCAACCTACAAATCTGATGGACAGAATAGATGACTCGATCTGAGTTGGGGCGACAAGGTCTCTGAAATACCATTGGATATGCGAAAGTCGTGAAGCATATGAACAGATTGAGAAGCCAAAGCATGTGGAGGGAGTTGCTTGTCCTCAAAGATTTTGTTGTTCCTCGCATACCAAATGGAGTTACAGATAACCCCAAACAATTCAGCCACATGTCGATCTCATTTTTCCACAGCCATTTTGACCCAAACATCCCAGCGAGGTTGGTGAAGATTCAGAATGCAATTACGAATTCCTGAAGTTCGCCAAACCTACGAAGCATAATCACACCAAAAGAATAAATGTGTGGTAGAACCTGATGGTACGTGACACAAAGGGCATGTTGGATCGATAAAGCAACCTCGTCTTTCCAGGTTTTCAAGTGTAGGGAGTGAATTTGTCGCACAACGCCACATGAAATAAAGAATCCGATTAGGCAGTCTGAGCTTCCATAGCTTTTTCTAGAAAATTCTGTCTGAGTCATTTTGTACAGCATCGGGGTGATGATCATCTAAGGGAGTAGATGCGTCCATCAACGCATTATAAGGTAAGTTGCCTTAACCGAGAAACGACCATTGCTGGAGTGGTGCCATATCCACCTGTCTTGCATTTCTGGAGAACCAGGTATAATGGAGAGAATACATTCTGCCTCTTCTCTGGAGAAGTTCTGTCGAACAAGTTCAGAGTTCCAAAGACCTGAACTGCATAAAAAAGACAGGAAACATAAGAATTCGGATGCAGTGCTGTTGATAACTATGCGATCTGAAATCTGATGTGCAAGGTAACCGCGGATCCTTCCAAATGCGAGTATTCTGACAAGAAAAAATCTGTCTGCGACAGCCCAAAAGCAAAGTGATTTTCACTTCCAAAATACTCCTCCAAGTAAATGAAGGACGAGATCCTGGTAAAGCATCAAGGAAAGAAGTATTTGGAAAATATAGATTTAGAATCTTCGAAAGCAGCGAGGTACGGTTTGTGAGGATACGCCAAGCCTGTTTTCCGAGCAAAGCTAAGTTAAAAATTTTTAAATCTCTAAACCCTAATCAACCTTTGATCTTGGATTGTGACAGCTTCTTCCATCTTAGGCATCGGATTTGCCTGCGATCAGCACCATCTCCCCACCAGCTGATGAAGTGAGGAAAGTCAGTTCTTGTATTGTTGAGTCTAGCAATCTGAAACACGATATTGTGTGGGTCGGGATGGCTTGAACTACACTTTTGATCATAATTTCTTTCCCCCCACGCGAAAGAGACTTTTCCTTCCAGCCCTCAATCTTCTTCGACACACGATCTTTGATTGAGGTGAATAATTCAAACTTGCTTCTTCCTGAGACAGTAGGTAAACCAAGGTATTTCTCATGCTTTTGTACCTGAGGAATTCCCAAGATGGATGAAATTTGCAGAGCCAACTCGTCTTCCGTATTTGGGCTGAAAAAAATCCCAGACTTTTCGTAGTTGATACGTTGGCCTGAGACCTTTTCATACAATTGGATTGCAAATTCAAATTGATTGGCCTCCTCCTCCGAAGCTTGACCAAACAGAAGCGTGTCATCTGCAAAAAATAAATGAGACACCATAGGAGCTCTGCGGCCAACCGAGATGCCATGACGATGTCCACACGCCTGCAAGTCCTTGAGAATACATGAGAAAAGCTCGGAACAACTTATAAAAAGGTAAGGAGACAGTGGGTCTCCTTGTCTGACACCTCTCTGTGGCTTTAACTGGCCAAATTGAAGACCATTTAAAAGAAAAGAAAAAGAAACAGTGGATAAGAAATAAAGAACTAAGTCTACAAACTTTGAATCTAAACCTAAAGCTGTCATAATCTAACAAGAAAAGACCATTCGACTCTATCAAAAAACCTTGCTCGGCTAGAAGGGTTGGTTGGGGTGGTTAGGCAATTAGGATGGGGCATGGTTATTACCGGGAGGTTAAGGGTACGATTCTCACTGGGACCATCTAATTTTTTTTTTTTATTTTAAAGAAAAAAGCCTTGCTCATATCGATCTTTATGGACATTAGACCTTGACTTCCTGATGTTTTTGATCTAATGAAATGGTGTGTTTCATAAGCAATCATTATATTTTCAGTAATTAACCTACTAGGAACAAATGCCGATTGAGAATCACTAATGATTGAAGGTAATAAATTATGGATTCTGTTGGAAAGCACTTTAGAGGCAATCTTTTAAACGACATTACAAAGACTTATAGGTCTAAATTGGAAAATAAAATCTGGCTTTTTGACTTTTGGAATAAGAACTATGTAAGTGAAATTAATAGAGAGATTTATTGATTTATTATTTAAAAGGTCTAAAACATACTTAGTGATATTTTTGGAAAAAAATAGAAGACATACCATTCGACCTTGGAGATTTAAAAGGACATAGTTGTTTAAGAGCACAAACTTTTTCAGAATTGGTAAATGGCAACAAAAGATGACCATTCATCTCCGAAGTAACTTTTGGACGAATTCGGCAAAGTGCATGCTGGATTTCAACTTGAGAGGGATTAAATGAGGTAAACAGGTTGCCAAAGAAATCAGAAATGATTTTTCTATTTAATTTTATTGCTCTTTACTAATTTTCAGTACCTACTATATGCTCTTTAAAAAACTAATTATTTATTTTCAAATTCTATTTTTTATGTCCAAAGGGATAATTTTGTCATTATATGTTTTTAAAATTTTAAATTTTTATATTTAAATTTTTTACGATTTTTTTTTCATATATTTCTTAACTTGTATACATTGGTACTAATATAATTACTAAATTTTAACAATTAACTTACCTTTTTATTTCATAGATTATAAAAAAATTTAATAATAAAGAAAATGAGGAAGAAAAAATATAGTTGAAATAAATTAACATAACAATTAACAGTTTATCATTCCAAACAAAAGAAAAAAATGCAAAAAAAAAAAAAATGTTAAGACAAGTCTTTCTTCCTTGACTCCTGTAATCAATAGGCAAGTTATGAAATATAAATTTTACTCGATCTAGCATAAAATGATTATTTTGTTTCTTGTAATAAAAATAATATAAAAATTAAAAAATCAATTGAAACATGAAAAAGTTTAGTCCACAAAGATGAATTTTTGTAAACTTGGTTAACACTATTTTTATTCTTTTTTAAAAATTATTATTTTTCGGATGGCTAAACTATATAAGCAATCATTGAATTTCATGTTAAAAATAAATATGAGTAGTCTTTAACAGTGTATTTTTTTAATCACTTTTTAAACCTCAAAGTTAAAATATAAAAGGTAAATTGTTTCTTGAAATTTAGTAATTATACTAGTACCAACATATACAAGTCTGGGAGCATAAGAAGAAATCGTAAAAAAAGTTTTAAAAATTTTGAAAATTTAAAATTTTCTAAAAAATATAAAATTACGAAATTAACTCTGGACCGAACTCACATGTGTTGCACATGAAAAATATAGTTTGAGAATAAATAATTATTTTTTTAAAGATTTTAGTATATTTTGATAGTTATGAACACTAGTAAACAGAAGTCAAATAAAATAAGAAAAGAATGAATAAAAATTGAAAAAGAATTTTTTTTGTTATTTTTACATATTTTGGGGGTTAATTTTACAATTTTTTGAAACTATTAAGGTATTTTTATTCAAAATTAACAGAAATCCGTTAAGTTTAACGTAAATTGGGAAAATTGGAAAAAAATGGAAAACATTTCAAATCTAAAGGACAAAATTGGCTAACCAAAAATCAATGGGATAGAATTGACGATGAGGCTAATGCTTTGGGTATAACCGCCATTTTTTCCAATTTTACTACATATCCCAAAATTCTAACATGCGAAATTTGATTTGTTTTGAGTTATTTTTAGGAAGAAAGATTACTAAATTTCCACATATTTCATAATTTATAAATCTTAACTAACTTCTTTGATTTAACAATTTAGAAATATTTATTAGTTGCATTATTATTTAATCAATTTTTGAATTTTCTGAGATAAGATGATAAAAATGGTAGTTCATATAATAGTGAGCCAACGGAATAAAAATGTAAACATTAGTCAAAAAAGGAATCAACTGATCCCTAAAGTTAAAATAATTTCTCTCTCTCTCTCTCTCTCTCTCTCTCTCTCTCTCTCTCTCTCTCTCTCTCTCTCTCTCTCTCTCTCTCTCTCTCTCTCTCTCTCTCTCTCTCTCTCTCTCTCTCTCTCTCTCTCTCTCTCTAGCGCGGCTGCCTCCCAATCCATTGCGCGTTCACTCCTCCGGCCGCCATGGGCGGTGAACATCCACAGGATGCCCCCACTGGACTCCCCTGCACGTTTGCCAATGTTTTTAGGAAACCTCCCGATGATAATTCCTCTCAACCATCAGTAACTAAGCCGGTCTCCTTCATCAATGACTCGCCGATTTCAGAATATGAAGATGATGAATACGAAAGTATATAGCTCCTCATCAAATGAGTTTGGTTGGGAAATTTACTTATAGAAGACCGAAGATGGAGGAAATTCACAATGAATTTAAGAAAATAAGATTTAATGATGCCTACACCTTAGGGTTGATGAACCCTAGGCACATTTTAATCCGATTTGAACGTGAAAATGATTATCAGCGTTGTTAGATGCGTACTATCTAGAATGTAGCTGGATTCTCCATGAGAATACTTAAGTGGAAGCCGGGATTCAAGTATGAAGAGGAACCCCCGATTGTACCAATTTGGGTCTCACTTTGTGATCTCCCAATTGAGTTCTTGAATCCAGAGATCATCTTCTCCATGGCTATGGCAATTGGCAAGCCTTTGAAAGTTGATGCCCCGACATTGAACATTATTGGGCCTTCGGTTGCTCGATTTTGTTTGGAGGTTGATTTGACAAAGGACCTACCTAAATCTTTCAAAATTGGTAAGAGGAGAAAGAAGCATGAGCAGCTTTTTACATATGAACACGTCCCCTTCTATTGCTCCAAATGTTTTAAGAGTAGTCATAAAAATGAAGATGTAAAAAGGGACTGCCGATGAAAGATGCTATGAATGGGAAACAACAATTGGACTCTCGTGGAAAGAAGCAAAAGCAACCCTTGCAACTATCGCAAGTTGCATCCTTGCGAGCTAGGGTTTTGGAAAAGAAATCGAATGATGAAGTTGAAAACCGGAAATTTGCTGCCATTGGGGCCACTTCGAGATTATCCGAGACAGAGAAAGCTGAAACAGTTGTTGATGTGTGTGATTCTTCCAACAAGGAAAGCTTATGTCATCAGGAGAAGTCGCAGCAAGAGGGGCTTGCGAAAACCCTAGTCATGGGCTACGGAAAATCTTCCGCCTGCGGAGACCTTGCTTCCGTGACTTGCGATGCTGGATTGATGATTGCGACGATGATCCTACCTGAGCTGAAGGAGCAAGGTGAGATTGTGGATGTTCAGGATTCTCCTACAGAGGCATTCACTTAAGTTTTAGGCCAGCTAGAAGTGGCGCAAATAGAATCCATTCCCCATGCCAAACCCTAGGTTGCATGGACGGATAATCGATTTACTTTGTTGGGTACGATTAATGAAGGTGACTGTGAAGGCCAAGAAGATGAGGATGATGCTCTGATCGAAGATGTTTACGTCGAACAAGTGGTAAATAATGTGCCTGATGAGATGGGAGATGCTTTGCAGGAGCTGGATAACAATGAACCCTTGTGTATTGGGCAGTCCGTGGACGATGGAATTGTTGGTATAGCTTATGATGTTTTGAAGTCAGATTCGGGTGTTTATGGCTGTTGGTGGGAAGGAGAAAAGGATAATGCATTGGTTCATGACTCTGATAAGGGTTTGTTCCATGAGGATGTAACTATCTGAAGGAAGAGAGGACCAAAATCAAAAGCAAAAAAGGTGGAGTTGTTGAAAGGGGTGATCCCGAGGCGATCACCTAGGCTACAGTAAATTGCTCTTTCTCTCTATTATTTTTTCCATTTTAAGTCAACTTATCTGGAATATTAGAGGAATAAAAAATCAAGCGTCTCAACAATGCTTGAAAACTTCTATAAAATTGCAGAAGGTGTCGGTCTTGTTTATTTTGGAACCCATGCTATCTTTTGGACATATTGAGAATGTTCAAAGAGAGCTTGGTTTTGATGTTGCTTTTTCCTCAGCTAATAGTAAAATTTGGGTGTTCAGTATACATGGTTTCATCCTTACTTTGTTGGAGGATTTGGAACAAGTGATCCATTTTAAAGTTACTAATGCTTTAGTGAGTGAAATCTTTTACTTCTTAGCTGTATATACTAAGTCAAGAAGGGAGGAGCGTCGCACATTATGGCAGCATATGGCAACCTTTAGACAGCTTCATCTGTTAGCTCCTTGGTTGATTGGCAGTGATTTTAATGTCATTCGTACGCTAGAAGAGTATTCAGGAACTTCGATGCAAGATTTGGCAGCTATATCAGAGTTCGATGAATGTCTTCAAGAATGCGACTTAGATGATATTCAAGCTGTACGTGAGGAGTTCACAAGGGGTGGTACTCGTCAAATGGTTTGGGTTTGCAAGAAGGTAGATAGAGTCTTGATAACCCCGGAATCGCATGTTTTGTTCCCGGTCTCTTCACTTGAAAATCTTGACCGCACCACTTCGGATCATTGTCCTATGCTCCACTTGTTTGATGTACAAGCTTCTAGTAAACCGAAGGTGTTCGATTTCAGAAAATGTGGTTTAGAAGACTGGAATCTCTTGCCAGGGTTAAAGAGAATTGGGAGTTGCCTATGGAAGCCTATGGTATGCTAGGTTTTTCCCTCAAGCTACAGAGGCTGAAAACTAAATTAAAGGAGTGGAATAAAGAGACCTTTGCTGATGTTTTTGCTAACTTGAAGGAGGCTGGAAATAAAGTGCAAGAACTTGAAGGAGTCTTTGATACCTCGGGATCAATCCAAGATAGAATTTGTTTGCAAGCTGCCAAGGCTGAGTTGTTGCAAAGACTCAAGGAACATGATGATTTCTGGACTCAAAAAATGAAGATTAAATGCGTGAAGGATGGGGACTCTAATACTTCATTCTTTCATGCTTCATTAAAGGAAAGAAGGCTGAGACAAGGGCTTTTCAAGATTCAATCTCAAAATGGTGAAACATTGACTAATCCAGCGTACATAGAGCAAGAAACTGTAGCGTTTTTTAAGTCTCTCTTGAATGACAATGACATTGATGCACTTTGTGGCGAGAAGCAAGATGTTTTCCTAAGTCACATTTCGTGGTTGCTTGATCATGATGACGACAATAGCCTTTTGAGGCCTACTGAGCTCGAGGAGGTAAAGGAGGCAGTTTTTAACTTAAGCAAGGATAGTGCACCTGGTGTTGATGGTTTTGGGGAAACATTTTATAAAGGATGCTAGCAAATTGTTGCTAGCGATCTATGGAAGGCTTGTCAAGAGTTTATGCTTGGCATTCCTATACCTAGGTCAATCTCGAGTACCTTGATAACTATCATTCTGAAGAAGGTGGCGGTTTCCACTTTTGCTGATTATAGGCCCATTAGTTTGTGTAACTTTTTAAATAAATTTTTTTCACTAAAATCTTGATGGAGAGGATCAAAGTTGTGCTGCCAAGAATCATATCAAAGGAGCAATCGGCCTTCTTGCATGGGAGAGACATAATGGACAATGTGTTGCTAGCGTATGATCTATGCCAATTTTTAGGCCGTAAAGCAGAAAGAGGGAATTTTGTTCTTAAGCTAGACATGATGAAAGCTTTTGACTGAGTAAGTTGGAGTTTCTTAGAGAAGGTGTTACTAAAATTTGGGTTTCCTGTGGCCTTTATCTCATTGATAATGAATAACTTGAAGAATGCTTGGTTTTCGGTTATGATCAATGGAGGACCGGTTGGATACTTCAAGTCTTCCCGAGGTATCAAGCAAATAGATCCGTTATCTCCTTATCTCTTTATTCTTGTTTCTGAAGCAATGACGCATAGATTGAAGGATTTGGTTGCCAATGGTAAGGTTGCAGCCTAAGGTACCTTGGTTGGTTCCTTGCCAGTTTCTCATCTTGCTTTCGCGGATGATGTTATTATCTTTTCAAGGGGTTTGAAAAGATCATTGCGAGAGTTGAATGGCTTCCTTTTAGATTATGAAATAGCTTCGGGTCAAAAAGTAAGCCGTCCAAAAAGTTCTTTTATGGTTGCAGATAATTGTAGTGCAAGGAGAGTAGCAATAATCCAAAGACATCTTGGTATTTAGAAAGGATCTTTTCCTTTTACATATCTTGGCTGCAAACTGTATCTAGGTAGAAGGAAAGTGGCTACATATCAGTTTCTACTGGATAGTCTTGACCAGGCTCCTAGTTTGGAAGAATAAATTGCTTAGTCAAGGTGGTCGTTTGGTGTTGATTAAGCATGTCTTATCCTCTATTCCGGTGCACGTGTTTTCAGCTCTTCCTCCTCCAAAATCAATCCTTCAAGAAATTGAAAACAGGTGTCAAAAGTTTCTTTGGAGTGGAATGAGTGAAGAACCAAGGCGGCATTAGAGGTCGTGGGAGAGAATCACTTTTCCGGTTTCTGAAAATGGTTTGGGGATACGGATTTTCAATGATTTATTAATGCTTTGGCTGTCAAGTTATGGTGAAAGATGAAAAATAGAGTAGGCATATGGAGCAATTTCATGCTTTCTCTGTCCAATACATCTAAAACTAAAACTTCTTGGCGGCGGATCTCGAAAGTGGAGCATAGGGTTGTGGTGCATACGAAAGTTATTGTTCATAGAAGGAATAGATCCTTTTGGTTTGACAACTGGTCACCGCATGGCATCCTTTGGGATATACAAGGATTGAATCTTCCATTGCCGGACTTCAGCATTAGGGATTTCTTCCTAAATAGGCAAGAGTTCCTTCCACTTATCCAACCGGTTCTGACGGATGAAGTACTACACTTTCCCGTGAATCATGAGCAATTTTTCATGGAGGATAATGACCTTCTCATGTGGCAGCATGCTTCTAAAGGGGAGCTAACGGTCAAATCTACATATGAAACATTGAGGAGGCGTCGTGATGAAGAGAGTTGGAGTAAAAATGTATGGAACCCAATAACACCTTTGCGTGTTTCTATCTTTTTGTGGAAGTTGCGCAATAAGCTACTCCCATTTCGGGAGGTCTTAGCGCGAATGGGGATTCATTGCTATCCAGCGATATGTTTGCTTTGTAGAAGACATGATGATGGAATTGCTCATTGCTTCTTTGGGTGTATTTTTTCCTTGAAGGTATGGCAACATTTTTCAGCATTGATGCGGATCAATATTCAAGGAGCGACTTCGAGTTCTTCTTTGCTTGGTAGATGGTGGCGCAAGGGAGACTTCAAGTCGGCCTATGGTGCATTGAGGAAGCTTCTACCTTCCATAATTATTTGGGAATTGTGGAAGGTAAGAAATAAAGCTTACTTTGAAGATGTTCGTCCAAGTTTCTCAGCTATAGTACATGTTATTATGGATCAGGTGCGTAGTTTGATGATGATCCATGACTTAAAAATTCAGAATGAGGAAGAAAAGAATTTTTTCTTACATGTCTTTCATTTAAACCTTGGACGTGTACCCCGGTCTAGGTTTTTGGAAGTAAAATGTCACCCCCCAATTGGTTCTTATATTCTTAATACAGATGGTTCATCTAGCATTGGTGAAGCAGGTTATGGTTTTGTATTTAGAGGAGAAGGTGGTTCTTTTGTTTATGGTGAAAGTGGATATCTTGGAGGTGGTGATAGCTTTATAGCTAAAATTTCTAGCATTCTTTTTGGATTACGGAGGTATGAACAAATGTGCCTTTTAAATGTGGAGATTCAGACTGACAATCAAGTTTTAGCTGAGATCTTATCCTAAGGTTCAGGTTTCCCTTGGAGATATTTTTTGTTCTTGTAGGAAATGTCGTCTATTATGCAGAGGAATGGATTCCGAATTACTCATATATATAGAGAAGCTAATTCTATTGTAGATTGGCTGGCTAAAGAAGCTGCTTCTAGGGCATCAACTATCTACTTTTCTTTAGATAGCTTACCAAGTTATGTAAAAGGATTAATGATTTTAGATCAATCATCCTTCTCTTATATTCGAAGTAGGAGCTTCTGATGTACATTTGGCCAGTCTATACACTGCAATTTCTCTATATTTGAAGTAATAAATTCCAGAATTCTGGATAATAGGGAATCGAATAGTACAATATTCATCTTAGAGGTATACCCTCTTCGCATGTTGTGTTATTCTGTTTTCTAGTTGTGCAGGAGTTAGGGAATAAGATAGTACAATATTCATTTTAGAGGTATACCCTCTTTGATTATTGTGCTATTTTGTTCTTTGGCTCTTCAGGATTTTGTCTTTCTGGTTTAAAAAAAAAAAGAGCGAACGGAATAAAAAAAATAGTGAAAGAAAAAGATATGCATATTTTGGATATTTTTTAGTTTGTTAGCAACAAAAATGAGAGAATAGGGGTAAATAATGCAGTAATTTTTTTTTTGATAGTAAGATTTTATTGAGATAAATAAAAGAAAATAAAAAAAAATTGAAAAAGTGGCGGGTCAAAATTAAAATTTGGTTAATTGAAAATTGAAATAAGTGGTGGAAAACTGATGAATAAAAAATATAAAGTAAAATTAATTTTTTTAAAAAAAAAAATAATAAAAACATCAAATTCAGCTGGAATGTTGGCCGGGGAGATGGTTTCCGGTGAATTAGACAATTTTTGAATGAATAAAAATGTTCAAAACTTATTTATTCATGTAAACAATAATAGAGATGAAAATTAAATTGAAAAAGACTTTGGGGACTTCAAGAGGACCATGCAAATGAATGGTTAGGCAATGCAATACAGTGTGATGAATTTAAAGGGTACATGTTTATGTTTACAGTCTGAAAGACACTGGTCCAAAAAATAAGCAGCTATTTCTTGCCTTTAACGTTACCCCCCTCATAGCCAATTACAATATAAGGATTCTAGGTACACCTAGCAATGTGCACTTAGTGTGAAACACACGCGCCCTTAATCTCAAAAATTATGAAACTACTATTTATTATCCCTTTTTTATGAGATTTTTGATTTCCAAATTTCTATAACCGATTATTCACCCTAATTATCCGCCATTTATGATTCCATTCCATCCATTCCATCTGCTACCATAATCTCATATATTTTTCATTTTGCATCATTTTGATATACCAAATTCTCACGTCGACAGTACTCCTGAAGACGAAATCAAATTCGTGCAGCCAAAACTGGGATTTTGCATCACGTTGATGAGTATTACGGTAAAAAACATGTTATTCATTCCTTTTTGTGTGGTTGTTTCCAAAATCTATCTCTTAAAAATATAAATTTGTCCGCTAAATCTTGTTTGGATTCTCAAAATCTTTGTTTCGCTATTCAGATTTGCCAGTTCGACCTCGTTCGATAAATCGTGGAAGGTTTATGGTTTTAGATTTGTTGTGAAAAAGAACAAAATTCAAATTTGGTGAATCGCCGGAGGCTTATGGATTCAGATCTATTGTGTAAAGAAGAAAAGATTAATAGATCCAGGTATTGTTCATTAGTTTAATGTTATTATTCATCTTTAGAACATGTTAGTTCATCGATGTTCTAGTCTTTGTCATCGATTTGTGGTTGATTTCAGAAAATATTAACAGATCTGGCATTATTCATCATCTCGGTATCATTATTCATCATCAATGTGTGGTTGTTTTAGTCATGTTTTCTTCTTCTGTGAAATATTATTCATCATTCATCATCGATTAATGATGTTAATTCATCAATTTCTTAGTTTTGTTCATCGATCTGTGGTTGATTTTGGAAAAAATTAATAGATCTAGGCTTTGTTTATCAGTTTAATATCATTATTCATGTTCAAAACATGTTAGTTCATCGATGTTCTAGTCTTGTTCATCGATTTGTGGTTGATTTTGGAAATCAGATTTTTACATCATTATCTATTTCTGGCGGTTATTCATCATCTCGATATCATTATTCATCATCAATTTTGGGTTATTTTAGTCATATTTTTTTCTTCTGGTGAAATGTTTATTCATCTTGTATTCTAGTTATTCATTATTTTCGCTTAGTTATTCATTAAAGTACAATTATTCATCTTGTAAAACTACAATTATTCTTCATTGTAATATTGTTATTCATTTAGGATGAGATCATTATTCGTCAGGTTTGCATTGTTATTCATTTTTGTGAATATAGTTATTCATTACAAAATTTAAATTTATTCGTCCATAACGTTGTCACTATAAGAACATCATTGTTCATCACGTCTATAACGTTGATATTATAAGCACCAAAAGTCTTTTCCTCAGAGTTAAAACATCATCAAATAAGCACATCATCTGTTATTCATCAATAACAACTTGTTATTCATTACTTAAAATAAGATAATTATCGTAAATCTGAACAAGATGATACACCATCTGCCAAAAAACAACAATGAAATTCCTGTTCATCAGTAACCATATATTGCGCATTACCTTACGCATGTATATTCACCAATAAAACGAATACATTCTACATCAATCATCTTTCAATAATTGTATAACAGTATTCATTGTCTAAACGTTGGTTATTCATTACTGAAAAAATACACATTGATTCTTCATATTCATAAGTCTCAATGATTAACGATAGTCAATTTTACTAAAATAAAATCCAACGTTATAAAAAAAATTATCTCATATAATAAAATAATATAAAAGTTAACATGACAAGCAAAAAAAAAAAAGGTTTAAAATTAAACGTGTGTAAAAAAAAAGGGGAATAAAATTATGGAGATTAAATGCCAAGAAAATGGGAATAAAATTGGGTGATTAAATGCGCGTATGGAAACTAAAAATCAGGACTAAAATGATCATTTTTTTCTTCCAAATTTGTGATACACGCACTGCCTAGGTACACGCACTGCAAGGTGTACCTAGGAGCTTAATATTGTTTGCCCATCATAGCTAGCACTAAGATAAGCATAAATCTCGCAAAAATAATTAGACTCTTGTCTACTTTTCATTGGTTAAATATTATTTCATTCCTAAATGATTGAAGATATTTATCATGTTGCGTGAGTTCTTTCGAATATAATTTTACCAAGAATAAATTGACCGTACGTTTGAGATTCCAAATTAAGTTTTTGAACCTTTGATTCAGACGTAATTAATTTAAAATTCAAGGTAAAGCAAAATGTAGGCGCATAAAATAATCCCAACTGAAGCTGGATCGAATCATGATCGTCGACTTTGCTCTTTCTTTTTTTTTTTTTTTTGAACAAAAAAAACTAATTGTTCAAAAGAAAAAAAAAGAAAAAAGACTTTGCTCTTTCTCTTTACAGTAGACATGGATTCTCCAATTTCAGCAGAAAACTCAAATCCATTATCCATCTTCCTAATTGTACTGGTCTCAATAATCTCACATTTCCTCGTAAGATCATATTTTTCTACACGAGGCAAAAACCTTCCACCAGGGCCATTTCGATGGCCAATTATTGGCAGCATACCCTGTTTTATACCTCATGTTTTAGCCTTCAAACCTCATCGAATTGTGACCTCCATAGCCAAGAACTATGGCGAATTAATGTGTCTGAAGCTTGGCAAACAGACTGTAATCATTGGGTCTTCGCCAAAAGCAGCATCAGCAATATTCAAGACTTGGGATCGTCAATTCTCAGGAAGGTACGCCCCCAAAGCAACTCCAATTGAGGAATCTGATTTGAAGAAATATTCCCTTGTTTGGTCAACTGAGTGCACCAGTGAATGGAAATCCTTAAGGGTTTTGTGGAAATCTGAGTTGTTTTCAGTTAAAGCTCTGGAAAGGAACGAAATCATGAGGGAGACAAAAATGAAGGAAATGGTTGACTTCTTGAAGTCTAAAAAAATTGGAGATGTGGTGAAAATTGGAGATGTTGTGTTCACTTGCGTTTTAAGAACTCTTGGGATGCTCTGTTTTTCCAAGGATTTGATTTCCATGGAGGATGAAATCAGGGCTAGTGAATTGAAAGACACGTTTTGGAGATTCATGGAGCATAGTACTACACCAATTGTGCCTGATTTTTTTCCTCAGGTGGTTTTGATCCTCTGGGTCACAAGAAGAAGGCCAAGAAATGCCTCGACAAAGTGTTCGATCTGTGGCGTGATTTAGTCAAGGAAAGAAGAGAAATAAGAAATAGTATTAGTACTAATGATTCTTCATCGTCAGGACATGGGGACTTCCTGGATTTCATGATTACTAATGGCTTTTCAGACATCCAAATTGATTATATGCTCTTGGTAAGTATAATCTGGCTCATTATTTTGTTTCTTTGAAGAAAAAAAAAAAACTCTGCTTTCTCTGTTTTATTTATGAACTATGAAGTCTGCCTATATCATCTGAAGTCTGTGTTATGGATCCCAAGTACTTCGAGGTTCATGATTTGGCAACATAAAAACTTGTTTCCTTTTATGGAAGGGGTTTTTTTACTAAGGAATGTTTAGAAAGTAGTAATGTTGTTCTGATAGAGACTCGACTGTGGATTAGTTTGAGAGTGATATGTGCCCGATACCTTAATGTTAATGTATTTGAACGAAATTAGTGCTGTTGTTAGTCTAAAGAGTGTTACATATATTTTGATCCCATTGTGATTATGCACATGTTTTTGTACTTTAGGAAATAATACCAGCAGGCCTTGGGACTTTGACAACAACAGTAGAGTGGGCAATGGCGGAGCTAGTTAAAAATGAAGTGGAGATGAAGAAAGTATCCGAAGAGCTCCAAATGGTAAACAACAATACTCATCCAATGAAAGAATCACAAGTACTCAAAGCCACATATTTGAACGCTTGTGTCAAGGAAACCTTAAGATTGCACCCACCCATCCCATTCCCCCCACATTGTGCTCAGGAAACATGCCAAGTTTTCGACTACACAATCCCAAAAGGTTCCTTAGTACTTGTGAATCTTTGGGCATTAGGACACGACGCGAATATTTGGGAGGATCCGTTTGAGTTCAGAATCGATAGGTTTCTGAACTCGGATATAGACTTCAAAGGGCGAGATTTCGAGCTGTTACCATTCGGTGCTGGAAGAAGAATGTGTCCTGGATTACCTTTTGCTGCTAAGCAAGTTGGCTTAATTTTAGCCTCTTTGATCAACAGTTTTGAGTGGTCTCTTCCATGTAATGCTGATCCTCGCAGCCTAGATATGGATGAAAAGTTTGGCGTTCCTATGAGGAAGAAACAACCATTGATATTAGTCCCAAGGAAGATTCAAATCTAGTTTCCTGTTAAGGTGTATAAACTTCTTTACACATTTGATGCTGTGAAGGCGTTACTATCAATTACTAAAATGCTAAATTACTATCAATTTCTTCTTTGTTGTTGATGATAATTAATTAAAGTTGCTTGTATTTCTTGCATTTTACCAAAGTTAGTGTATCGATACTAACACATCATACAAAGTAGTCCAAACTCCAACCAACATGACCGATCCAAACATTCACTCCATGATATGAAACCAAGAGAAAACTGGAACTATTGGTTTAGTCGATTCAATTTAGACTCCAGCTAACCTTAAAACACACATTATGACCTATGCATTGGAGGATTTTACTATAGGTAAAGACTATTACCCTCACTATTGAATGATCTTTCTTCTCTCCCCTCCCTCACTCCATTTATGGTGATTAACTAAAATGAGAGTTGGAGTTTGACCCAGAGCAATCCACAGTAAGTACTCTGAAACGAGCCTCGATCTTCTCCTTTTTGCAGGTTAAATGTTGGTGGTCTTCAAAGTATCCAGTTGAAGGCCCAATTATATTAGTGGAAACACTCGATCACTAGTCATTCTAGAGATAACATCAGTTTCATATATCAAAAATAACATTTTCTTTTGGCAGGGCCGATAAATTGTTTAATTTCTTTCAACCTTTTATATTTTCTTTCCTTGTAACCCTGATTATCCAAATTAAAAACAAAAGACCATAACAAAATCGCTACCTAGTACTCTAGTAGTTCATTATGCATTATTTCATTGTCCAATACTTGTGATTGGCTAATCCATGATATTGTAATTTGAATAAGTTCCCAAGGTCAAAACTTTGAGGATCCTAGTAATTAATTTGTAGTAACCAAAAATTTGTTTAGGAAAAATAAAAATAAAAAAGGGAAAAGAAAATAATGAGAAATGAAAAAAAAAAACAAAAATCGTCATCCTCATCAGAGTAGGCGTGCAAAAAAACTGCATCAGAAAAAAAGCTGAGAAATGAAAGTCCCCCACCTCGTCCACACTCACCCCACCCCACCCCACCCCTGTCCCACAAACAGAGCTACAGTCCCCTACTAAAACAACTACTATTCAGTTGCATTCCACTCCCTTATTACTACTACAACAAACAACTACTGTAAAGCATATAGAACACACACACACACCCACTACCGAATGATCTTCCTCTCTCATACTTTCTTTTCCTGCCAAATTTACAGAGCCTTGTTCTGTGTGTATTGAAGCGGGATTGGGGACAACTTCGTCAGCATTTGCAGAACTGGGTCACTGACAATTTTATTATTATCTTGAGATTTGAGAAAAGTTGAAGCCCAGAAACAAGCAATTTTTTTGCTTTTTCTTGGAAGATCAACATTCAACACTCTACATAGAGAGGTGGAGTTAAGGCAAAGGCGGCTAGAATTTAATTCTCAGGAGGGCATTTAATTCCCTTTATTTTTTTTGGCTTGTGAGTTGGGTGAAGTGAAGTCAGCCCTCCAAGTCTAACTGTGTGGACTAGGAAACGTCATCACCTCATCAATGTGTTATGTGTGTGATTGATTATAGTCGTACCTCTACAAGTCTACTGCTTACTGTTCAGTAGTTGCTACCATTTATTACTAATATTGTATTTATGTATTAGAAGCAGTGCATTTGCTGTGAAGAAGAAATGGGGATAATATATTAGTATGCTCGCAAAACCAACTGAGATGATGAGGAAAGATTTTATTTTGTGGTGATTTTGGTGCTTGATTTCTTGGATAAGTTTATGCATCTGGGTAATTAGTCTGTTCTGCTCTGTTCTTGGGGAGGGGGCTGAGAAAGGTTATAAAGTTTAGTTCTTTTTGTATAATTTAAATGCTCTTTTCAGGTGTTCATTTTCGGAGCCCAGATCACGTTGTTGCAGGGTCTTGTTATTTTCATAGTTTTTAAAGCCGGTTTGAGGGAAGTAGTGTTGATTTTTTGGTTCATTTGAGAATCTGCTAATTCAAAGGGACTCTGTTTTGTGGGGATTGTGGAAAGGTTAAGCTAAGCTCTGGTTTCTTCAAGTAGTGATTCTGGAATTTGGAGAGCTGTCTGGATAAAGGGGTATTGAGTTTGCTCTGGTGGAGAAATGAAGTTTATGAAATTGGGTTCCAAACCTGATGCCTTTCAAGTTGAAGGGAACTGTATAAGGTACGTTTGATTATTAAAATTAGCTCCTCTGAGGCCTTGCATTCGGTTCCAACTTCGTAGCATTGTTGTTTTTTCTGGGTCTTGTTATTGTTTACTTTACTTCACGTAGAAATCAATTATTCTAACTTATTTTCAGATTTTGAAATCTGTAACATTCGGCATTTACAGTTATTAGAATTTTTGTTTCTGACAAATCTAGAATCTGTTCACTGGAAGATTTGTCCTCAAGTTTGCATCTTTAATGTTAAATTATCTGGAGCTGTAAGTAATCATGGCCTAAAATTTTTTGATACTGTGCCAAGAATGTAATCGGGATTCACTTCGTTAGGAAGAGGCAGTTGTCCAACTGGCTAATTGTCTAGTTAGTTTACCATTTGCGATACAATTTTTTTACATTGTGAAAGGAAAAGAAAACCAAAAGTAAATCGAAAAGCCTGTCATAACTAGATCCTATATATATGTCTAATCATGAAGTGGTAAGATCAATAATTAGCACAACTTGATGACAGGATTATTTTATTTGGCTATCTTTAGTATGCTTTTAGTTTTTATAATCAACAAAGTTTTTTTCATTTGGCTAGGATCAAAGAACTCTAATGTGGTCCAGGTATTTAACCCTTGATTTTGATTAGTCTGTGGTCCAGTTGTGATGAAAGTCATATGGATAGAACCTAATGGGCTGACTCTTTTGTTGCTTTAAGCAGATTAATTATAGTTCCCTTTCTAAAGTTAGCAGTCCTAACTACTTGCAGCATAATTTATTTAAGACAATGGACATATTGATACTCTTGACGCCTGTGGTATATGGTCTTCATGATTGCCTGATTGGCGGCTTGCTTTTAATGGCTTTTTGGTGGTCCTTTTCTGTTGTTGGTTCAGTACTTTACGCTCTTACACAATCTAATCTTCTTTTAATGATTTAATCTGGAGATGGAATCAGTTTTGATGCTGAATATGGTGTTTTTGTCGCTTTAACATTACTCTACGTATCCCCTGATCCATTAAGTAGTATCTGCCTAACGATTTAGAGCATCACTTTGGAAATAAAGCCATAACTCTTAGTAAATATTATGTCTATAACTGAGATGAAGCATGGTATTCTTTTGGAAATTCATAAAATCAATTGCTTGAAGTAAGAAAGTATATATGTAATTTGCAAATCAATTGCCATGCACTGATTTCTATATTCCAATTCATTGGAAATACCAGGTCATCGAAATAAAGTATTTAGCCATTGGATAGTTTGGTTGTCTGGACTTAATGCTGCTAAAGTTATCACATAATGTGTGTGGATTGGTTGAAATTTTGTCACTAATAATGCATTTGATTTTCTAGTTTCATTGACAAAGTCCATCAGTATTGAAAGTACAAACTTATACATATTGATTCTTTGTGTAAACTTTGTTTTCATTTTTCTTTTCAATTTCCATTACTCCATGAAATCCATCTATACATCTTTATTAGGATGTATTATGCTGATCATAATTATCTTGCAATTCTAAAGGTCTCTAGTGTAATCCTGCAGGCATGTCTCGGCTGAACTATTGACTGATGTCATCATAGTGATTGAGGAAATTAGATTTTATCTTCATAAGGTAATCATTCTATTCTATCAATGTTGGAAAAAAGGTTTTAAATTCGTAATTGAAGTTCTTTCTTTGCTATTGACATGCATAAAAACAAACTTGTTATCTAGTAGCAGATCATTCGGTTAACTATGTTCTAAATTTCAAAATGAAGTCTCTCAGTTTGGCTTATCAATCTACTTCATGATTGTTGTCTTATGTTTAACGTCTTCTTTCAGTTCCCTCTCTTGTCAAAGAGTGATCTCCTCCAAAAACTTGTGTCTAAAGCCAGTGAGGAGAATGCAGATGAAATTGAACTGTCCAACTTCCCTGGTGGACCAAAAGCATTTGAAATATGTGCCAAGTTTTGTTATGGAATAACAGTTACTCTCAACCCATATAATGTTGTAGCAGCTCGTTGTGCAGCTGAGTACCTTGGAATGACTGAAGATATTGACCGAGGAAATCTTACTTTCAAGATCGAAGTGTTTCTCAACACCAGTGTCTTCCGCAGCTGGAAGGACTCAATCATTGTATTACAAACCACTAAGTCTCTACTTCCTTGGTCTGAAGATCTGAAGATTGTAGGGAGATGCATTGATTCTATTGCATCTAAAACCTCTGTGGATCCTTCAAACATAACATGGAGTTACACTTATGCGCATAAGCCTGCAACAAAAGAGAGGATATTTGAGGAAGGGGTGAAAGGCCCATGTTCAGTGCCAAAGGATTGGTGGATAGAGGATGTTTGTGAACTTGAAGTTGATCTCTACAAGCGAGTAATGCTTGCAATCAAAGCCAAGGGACGTATGGAAGGTAAAGTCATTGGAGAGGCATTAAGGACTTATGCTATGAGATGGTTACCGGATTCCATAAGTGATTTGGTATCTGAAGTCCATAATAAGAGGAACAGATCTTTAGTTGAAACAATGATTTGCCTACTGCCCTCTAGCGCTGGTTGCTCCTGTAGTTTCTTGCTTAAACTACTGAAAATTGCTATTCTTGTTGAAGCAGATGATGCCTTAAGAGAGAACCTAATAGATAATATCAGCTTTAAGTTGGATGAAGCTGCTGTGACTGATTTGCTAATCCCGGCAAGATCTCCCCAAACTACAATTTATGATGTAGCACTTGTCAAAGGCCTGGTGAATCGATTTGCAACTCGGGCCAAAAATAATCAGAAGTTTAGTGTGTATGAGAAAAGTGACAGTGGGGTCCCGGACTTTGTATTGGCGCCTGCAAATTGGTTAAATACTACCAGACTGGTTGATGATTTCCTAAAAGAAATTGCCCCTGATCCAAACCTTACACTTTTGAGCTTCATTGAATTAGTTCAGATGGTTCCAGAGACGGCAAGACCTATTCATGATGGATTGTACAGAGCCATTGACATGTATCTGAAGGTAGATCTTTCTTGTTTAATAGTTTCCCAAAGTGGTCCTTCTTCTCCCGCTAACTGAATCAGGTGCAGCTAAATGTCCTTCTTACAGAAGATTGGAGGATTAAGTTACTGATTTTTTGTCTTCATGCAGGGTCATCCAACCTTGACAAAGGCTGAAAGGAAGAATCTCTGTGGCTTAATGGATGTCCAGAAATTGACTCCTGATGCATCTATGCATGCGGCACAAAATGATAGGCTGCCTCTTCGGGTTGTGGTGCAAGTCCTGTACTTCGAGCAACTTAAATCAACTGCAAGAGTGAATGCAATGAACACTCCCAAAAATGATGCATCAGAAACAACAATGATAACAACAAAAACTGAAGAACGTGACAGAATACCACCCAAAATTCGCAAATCCTTATCAGTGCGAATGGATCAAATGAGGATAAAAGACGGTAATCTGCCAAGTACAACCCAGCAGTTGGATCGAAAAGGGAGTAAACGTGTTGGTACTGGAGTGCCGCAGTTGCTACCATCTCGCTCTCGAAGGATCTTTGATAAACTGTGGGGTGTTGGTAAATTACTAAATGGAAATGTAGAGAATAGGAGCTCTGACACATCTGGTAGTTCTCAGAGTCCGCGGTCGATTATTCAGGGAGAAACCAAGTCTTCTGTCTCATATGCTAGACACAGGAGGCATTCCATTTCATGAGAAAAAACAGCAGGGGAGTACACCGCCATATATGACCTGAATTGCAACTAGACTTAGTCATTGTAAGTGCAAAATGTTATTAACTAAACGTTTGTAACAATTTCTTTAGGTGCTGATCTTAATGTAATAACTCTATAGAGACATTAGATTGAATCTGCTGCTTTCACTTGGTTATGGAAAAAACATCATCAAATCAACGTGGCTCTAATAAAAATAGAATAATGATGCTGTTTGTTGTACGTTCTCTCTCTTGCATCCATGAATGGTCCTTGTTTATTTTACTCCTAGCTGTTTGCCTGTTAATGCAGAAACTGAAGTTCATTCCATTTTTGAATTTTTCATGTGATGTATTGTTGATAAAAGAGGATGCAAAAAGTCTGATGAACATTTTAGATTACGAGTATAAACTACACCTACAAAACACTACAGTTCGCAGTCATGACTTAGACTACATCAATAGGGTTATCCAACTCTTTCGCAAACCTCGCTCCTCATTCAATCATTTCGGGACAGAAAAAGTAGTACTGTTATAGGATTTTCCTCGCACATTCTCCCTGTAACTTAACCTAACAAGCATTACAAGTATATTGCAAAAAATGGGATACTTTCTCATTAATGTGCCCTTACTTATGGGCTAGTAAACAAAAAAGATCAAAGAAACTTGATTTTCCAATTGTCCTATTTTCCTGTAGGGTTGAAAATTCAGAAGATCAACAAAAAAGATCAAAGAAACTTGAAATTCCAATTGTCCTATTTTTCTCTAGGGTTGAAAACACAGAAGATCAACCTTGTAACAAAATCAGATCACTAAAACTTGCTGATGACTAATCATAATGTACTGGAGAATTCTATGGCTTCAGGGGCAAAGAAAAAAACAGCTGCAGCCTGCATATAGAATCTTATGCAAAACAACTTGGAGGCTGAATGTAACCAACCACAATTCCAGCAGCATTAACGCATGAAGCATTAGCTTGACGATTTTGATAGGTTAAGTTCACATCTTCAAGTTTAATCCCAGTGCAAGGATGCGACTTACTACAGTCGAATTTTACTGCCACTTCTGTCGCTGATGTTCCATGGATGCCTTGGTACGTAACACCATCTACTTTAACACCCGAATCCTAACAAAAGAAAAATGTTTTGATTATAAATATAATGTTTATAGAAAATGTAATGTAGCATGGATTTTCTTCTCTAGTTGCTGGAAATTTAATGGCGATCCAAAATTATAAGCGCTCAATATCTGTTTAACTAAAACGGTACAAGAAATTAACTGGATTATATAACTAGTAGATAAAACTGTTAGCTACAACTACAATTTTATTTTTTGTTACCTGTACAGGACAAATCTGATGTGGGCAGTAGTTTTGATCAATAATGATAGGGTTATAAACATTGATCATGGTGGCATTCTGCACCATGACGTCTTTCACAAACCCATTGCTTGGTTTAGGCCAGGATTTTATCCTCAAACCATTTAGCGTGTTTGCAAATGTTGCACCTTTTACTGTCACATTTTGGACTCCTGCCTCTATTGGCTCTCTTCCTAGACTCCCAATGCTGCAAAACAAGTCACAACCATGTAAGAATAAATTAATTTGAATTAAAAATAAAAATCTAAATTGCTCAATATTTTTGGGATGGAGGAAGTACTTTTTTATCCTCATTTACTTTAAATATCACGTCTTTTCATCATTCACTAGCTATTCTTACAAGTGATGGATAAAATTTTTCATTATTTATTTATTTTTTTTTTTGCATTTGTCACTGACCTGATTCCGTGACCTGATAGCCCGCAAGTAACATTTTCAATCCACAAATTGATTGTTCCGGGACCAATTGATATACAATCATCACCGGTAGTAATGGCCGTGTTATAGATGTTGACATTTGTAGAGAACTGAACATGAATGCCGTCGGTGTTCAAGCTGTTCCCGGCGGCAGAAATGTTAACCGATTGTATTGTCACGTTATTACATCCGTTGAACACAATATGATACAGTTGGCTGTTCAGAGAAGTTAGACCTTTGAGGGCAATGTTGCTTGAATTGGTAAACTGTACTGTCTGCACAAACACATGACCAAATTCAAATCAAATCACACTCGTCAAAATTGTGCCAAAAAAATTTCAACTTGCCAACAAGCACAAAAAAAAAGAGAAGGTATCATGGAGAAATGCACCTTGAAAATTGAATATTTTTGTAATTGCTATACATGATTACTAGCAATAAAAGATCCTAATAATTAAACATGTCAAATCCGAAAATTAAATCAAAGTTACTTCCCAAAGTTTATCAAATTTTAATCTATGAATAAATGATACTACACAAAATATTATTGAAACTGCAATAAACTTTGGGGTTTGGTTATACCAACATTTAAGTGAGGCTACCGGGTACAGTTTTTTTTTTTAAGAAAAGACATATGTATAATAACATTAGACGTATAGACATGATCTAACTGCAACGGTACAACCCTTTGATTCCAGAATACTAAAAGTCCCAACACTTCTAAGGCTATACATTCTCATAATTAATGTAGAACAAATTGCTAATATGAAAACTCAAACAAAACAAGCTCTTGGATTTTCAGTCTCTAATTAAAATTTAATGTAATACGTTGGACTATAATTATGGAGTATAGGAATTATTGACAAACCGAAGTTCCGGTAGGGCAATCATTGTTGGATAATTTGCAGTTCCAGAGATCAGCACCTTGACCATCAAAAACTCCGCCACGAATTGCCAGTCCATCAACTCCATGAAAACCAACCCAAAAGATATCATCCGCCACGGCACTATAATTTGATTGTTGAACAACAGTGCCATCAATTTGAAAGCTCAGAGCACTATTATTACACGGTCCCGAAAATCGAGCTTGTTGATTCACTAGAAACCTGCCTTGCGGCACAATAATCGTCGCAGGACCCAGATTTTGGCACGCAGAAGTCCATGCACTCATGAAATACTGGGTTGAATCCGTTTTGCCGTCGGGTTTTGCTCCCATGTCCGCCACATTGTACACATCATCGGCAGTTATGGATTGAGTGTAACACAAGAAAATCAACGTAAGAACTATGAAAAGGCTAATGAATTTTTCCATTATATTTTTTTTGGGCCGATGAAATGGAGTTTGAGGGGAGAGCTTCTTGTGTTTAATATCCATCTTTATGTGAAAAGAACTTGGAGTTGGACTGTTTTAGGAAATGATTCTGAACGAAAATAAAATGGAATCTGCATCTAGTTTTGCATTGAATTGCTGTGGAGAATAATACGAATTAAATGGAGAAATCGAAAATATGTCTATTCCCATTCCCACAAATTTTGCACTATGTTTTTCCTTCCTTTGGTCTTTTATTAATGCTTATTACCAAGCAGAAGTTTTGTATATCGTGTGTGAATAGAATATTTGAGGGGAATTTCTCCCATTCTAAAATGTCTTTTTTTTCGGTTATATTAAGATTGATTTATTACAAAACGGAAAAACTTGTATCTAGTATTCCTTAATTAAATCAACCAATTGCTTAAGTCTATTCTTTCTTTTAAGGTAACGCCAGATTCCCACCAGAGATGGTAATAGCCTGAAAATCACAATAGGAGAAAACCCACCTAGGCAAGCCCTAGTTGAAATTGTATACTGTAGTAGTCCCTCCGTCGTCGACCAAAAAAGAAGAAAAAAAAAAGAGAAAAAAGAACACGATAGTGTCTAGTTGTGGAAACTCGAAAGCAGAAGAACTAGTTTCAGTCTCCCAGAGGAGCTACTAGAAAGGGCTGTTGGTGAAAATCTGGAAGAATTCCTTAATTAAAAGAAAACTCAAATAATGTGATATTTTTCATAGAGAGATGTGGTTTTACGTTGCAAGTTCATTTTCCTTCTTTCATAATTTCTTTTATATGGTTGATCTTGAACTTGATACCATTTTATAGTAACAACAATTTACTTGTTCACATATTACTGAAAGATAGTTTACTTTACATGATGGTCTTTTTTTGACTAGTAACAGGAGTCTACTTATCACTATTTCTTTCTTTTTTTCCCAATTCTCAATTTTAAATATTTTACTTTATTGTTAAAAAAAATTGAACGTACGCACTAAGCGCGTTCGATCTAAGTAACTTATTAATCATAAATTAGGTTTAGTCGCGGATTGATTGTGTTAAAATTAACTCTGATAGAATTTTCAGTCGGTATTAGGAAATGAATAGTGCAAGTGAGATTGTAAGAGATTCTTATAAGAGATTCTTATTAGAATCGAAAACAAGAATATAATGGTACTGTAAATTTCTATTCTATCAGAGGATGCATGGAGTTAAGGGGTGTTTACTATTTTCTTTCTCCCAACGATTTTCAGCTAGCTTGAAAATTAATTAGGAGATAGATATAGCCAGTGTCCTGAACATGGCTTTGAGGTACGAAGAAAAGAACGATGCGGTATCCATGGTGTTTTTGTTTGTGGCATAAGGGAGATGATTAAAAAAACGACAACCATTTGGTGATGTAAAAATGTCAACAAAGACTTATTTTTTACTAGTTAATTTGCTGACAATATTAGTGGTAAGGGTCTTGGTATATACAGATGCTCGAGTTTCCTAATGTAAGTGATATGAAATAGTTGATTGATTGACACATGCTATCATAGTAATTTTCTTCCGATGACAAAGACCAATGCAAAGTAATCGGTCGCGCCATGAGAACCAAGCCCTTCCAAAAACAGTCGTCAGGACTTAGTCCTGAAATTCCAAAATTGCAAATCCAACATCAAAATTCAAAACTGTTTTTGGCGCCAAATATAGCTCCATTTTTAAGCCGTAAAAACAGAGATCTACCGTATAAACTACAGAGTATATCTGTTGAAATCATTAAAAAAGATTTTGTAACCCGGAGAAACGAAACCTAAAAATACAGAAGCAATTCTGAACTTCAAGAAAATCAGATTCGACACACCATATTCAAAACTACTTTCAGAGCCAACTGATAATCCTTTTAGCAATATGTAAACTACAATATCAATATTGATGAGCATGTCTCTAAAGAGAACTCATCAAAAACATCATTTAACAAGGAAAAACTATCTGCGCAAAGATAGCATCTTAACACCGAGATTTTCTGAAACCGGATGATAACATGCTTTTGTTTTTAAAAAGCATTAATATTTGGGCCTACTTGAATTTACGTCCCTTACATTAACATTTCAATATCCTAGTCCCAAACATTATGTTTTCCCACTTTTTTGGTCCCATTTCACTGTTTCCGGCCGTTGACATGCCGGAATCAGGGGTATTTTTGTCTTTTAATTTAATTAAAATTTTTATTAAAATTTAAATCATTAAAAATATTTTAAAATTCAGATTTCATTATTTAATTGTTAAAATATTATTTATTAATTAAAAATATTATTACAAAATTTTAAAATTTACATTATTTTCAAAATTAAAATTTTCATTTATCATTTATCTTAGGTAAAAGTAAATAGTAATTATATTGTACTTTTAACCTTGGACCCACTGTAACTTAAAAAATTTACCGAGTTACAGTAAATAATTCAAAATTCAATTTTTTTTTTTTTTAAAAAAAAGAAAAAGCCAAACCATTTTTTTTATTCTGACCGCTATAGTAAACCCTAAATGGTAATTATGTTGTACTTCCAACCTTGGACCCACTATAACTTAAAAAAATTTACCGAGTTACAGTAAATAATTCAAAATTCATTTTTTTTTAAAAAAAAAGGAAACAGCAAAACCAAGATTTTTTACTTCGTCTGCTACAGTTGAATTTTGAATTATTTACTGTAATTCGGTAAATTTTTTAAGTTACATTGGGTCCAAGGTTAAAAGTGCAACATAAGGGTTTACTGTAGCGGTCAATTACTTTGTTTTGTTTTTTCTTTTTTTTAAAAAAATTAAATTTTGAATTATTTACTGTAACTCGGTAAACTTTTTAAGTTATTGTAGGTCCAACGTTAAAAAAGCAACGTAGCAGTCAGAGTAAAAAAAATCTTGATTTTTCTTTTTTTTTGGAAAAAAAATTGAATTTTGAATTATTTACTGTAACTCGGTAATTTTTTAAGTTACAGTGGGTCCAAAGTTAAAAGTGTAACAAAATTACTATTTAGGGTTTACTATAGCGGTCAGAGTAAAAAAATCGTGGTTTTGCCTTTTTTTTTAAAAAAAAAAAAATTGAATTTTGAATTATTTACTGTAACTCAGTAAATCTTTTAAATCACAGTGAGTCCAAGGTTAAAAGTGTATTATAATTACCATTTAGGGTTTACTGTAGTGGTCAAAATAAAAAAAAATCTTGGTTTTGTTTTTTCTCTTTTTTTTTGAAAAAAATTTGAATTATTTACGGTAAATTGGTAAATTTTTTAAGTTATAGTGGTTACAAGGTTAAAATTGTAACATAATTACCATTTAGGGTTTACTGTAGCGGTCAGAGTAAAAAAAAAATCTTAGTTTTGCTTTTTATTTTCCTTTTTTTAAAAAAAATTAAATTTTGAATTATTTACTGTAACTCGGTAAATTTTTTAAATTAAAGTGGGTCTAAGGTTAAAAGTGCAACATAATTACTATTTACTTTGACCTAAGATAAATAATAAATGAAAAAATCAATTTTGAAAATAATGTAAATTTTTAAAATTTTATAATAATATTTTTAATTAATAAATAATATTTTAACAATTAAATAATGAAATCTGAATTTTAAAATATTTTTAATGATTTAAATTTTAATAAAAAATTAAATTAAATTAAAAGACAGAAATACCCCTGATTCTGACATGTCAACGGCCGGAAACAGTGAAATGGGACAAAAAAAGTGTGAAAAGGTAATGTTTGGGACTAGGATATTGAAATGTTAATGTAAGGGACGTAAATTCAAGTAGGCCCAAATGTAAGGGACCATTTGGATATTTTACTCTAAATAAAAATACTATATTAACAGCAAATACTACATTAACTGCACGGGGAACTAAATACTATGTCAACATCATTGTTACCACAGAGGATGTGCAAAGATTATAGAATCTCTATATATGATGATAAAAATGAAGGGACACAATACTTGTAACCATGATATTGTAAAACGTGATTATTTGCCTGATGTCGGTTCAAGGAGCCTAAAGACATAAAGCAGCGTAGAGGAAATATATTGGCTACACAATCACAGGGAAATGAACATTAGGTTGGCCAAAAAAAAGAAAAAGCCGTTGAACTTTTCCTTTAATAAAAGGCAAGCAAATCAGAATGATGGTGTAAAACAGAGGTCCCCAAACAGATGTTCAAGAACCCTATTACCCATACAAGTCCCACGATCTGTCAAAATTTTCCAAATAAGATTACAAGTCTGTTGAATAAGATCATTAGCTTGATGCATGGGTCTTTCCAAAAACGGACATTGTACCTTTAACATTAAGATCGCCAGTGGGAATTTATATTTTTCCCAAGAATTCAACAGTTTAAGCCATCAAACTAATAGGGTGCAAAATCCATCACTGACACTTCTCCTGATTGTGGGATTCAAGCCGGGATATGCACCAGACAACGTCAACGACAATGCCAACACCCAGTATAGCCATCTCATTGTATTCATATACCAAAGAAACTTCTAAGCTATTCTGTAATTCAACTGCACCAAACACAGAAATGGATAAATTGCCAAAGGATATGAAACCATAGAAGACAGAACACATCCAGACACAACACAATTTAATAATTTTATGACATTGCAGCACAAATCCATCATCTAGGAAATAACCAAACATACATATGCTTAGGATTTTTTTTTATGAACTTATATCCTACCATTACTAATAAAATGCAATCCCCGTATGAAAACAGATTCATAATCATCAATTACACCAACAAAAGCACACAATGATCACTGCATCTTGTGATTTGTTCTAAACAAAGTGGCAAGTTGTGGAAATAATCATTCTAACCCAACAAACAATAGCAAAAAAGAGTCTGAAGCTAGATTGGTAGTGGTGGATTTGGAAGGTCGATTCTAACCAAAACAATCATTCAAACCCAACGAATTCATTAACTACTAATAGTACTTTCAGTATGAGTATGCTTACCAAAGAGGTCTCACGCTGGTTGAAGGATCAGTAATCCCACTGTTTGTTGAGACAGCAAGGAAGCAAACACTCCAAATTGTCTTCTTTAGCCTTGTGTTTGTCGGCATCAAGCACATGTTTGAGTTCGCAAAAAATTACCTGTCTGGGAGGCCTTCAATAACCCCACACATACTGGGCTTGAAAGGTTTCGAATTCCACTGCGGCACCACCGGCAGATTTAGGTCGAGCCAGGAAAGTAAGATACTAGACATTCAGGCCAGAGCAACACTCACAAGTCACGTGCCATATACAATCTGCACTGCCACCAAACAGATAGTGTTCCTTTTCCTCGTTGATGGAACTCATAGTCCCACTTGCTATGACCCGCATTGTTCACCATGGGTCGGGTCGGGTCTGGTCAATAATCGATCTTGGCCTTTCATTTTAGGGTATCTCCTCTATAAATACTCTTCATCAGCCTCCAGGTAAAAGGTTCATATTCTTCTTCATTATTTTATCTTCTACTTCACACCTCACCACCATGACTCCACGGTTGGTCTTACCTCTACCTCATCAGACTTGGCGTCGAAGTTCGATCCCGGGGTACACACCCGGGATGAGCACTGACTCCTTTCTTTCTTACATGTTTCACCATAAATCCATATACCAAGAGAAGGTCTAGCTGCAATATTATATGGAGTTCAAGACATGGTTCTCACATTACCATTTATTGACTTCCATGAACTGGCGCCGACTGTGGGGAAGACATCAAGAATCATTGCTCTTCCCATTCACCAAATTATTATCTTGAGTTAGTAGAAGATTGAGTAAATACTAGTGCCTTCTCTAAACAAGTATATATTCAAATAAAGATTGAAGTTCAATGAAGTTTAAACTACGACTTCATGTTTGCATGTATATCTTCAAGAAGAAGACCTCTTATAGTTTTAAAACTATAAAACTCTCCTTAAAAAGACTAAATCGGTGTTGAAGAAGGAAAATTCAAGAACTTGGTCCTCCGCCTAAGGCATAACCTTCCGGAAACTATATCGTTAGCATACTCTGAAGATATACAGTTGGATTTGGCTAAATAAGCCTCCACTTGAGGATGCAAAAAAAACCCAAATCTGGTTTTGTTTGTTCCTTAGACTGGCACAGAAACCTCTCCTACGACAGTGATTTTTCCTCCGGAAGTAGTTTCTTATCCGGCAGCAATTTTCTCTCCGGAAGTAGTTTCCCCTCTGACAGTGACTTTTTCTCCAGAAGTAGTTTCTTCTCCAGCAGTGATTTTCTCTCCGGAAGTAGTTTCTTTTCTGGCAGCGACTTTCTCTCCGGAAGTAGTTTCCCCTCCAGCAGTGACTTCTCCTCCAAAAATAGTTTCTCTTTCAGCAATGGCTTCCTTTCGGAAGAAACCTCCCCTCTAGTAGTGGCTTACCCTTCAGAAGTAGTTTCTCTTTCGCTAGCGACTACACCTCTGGTAGAAATCTCCCCTCCGGCAGCGGTATTCCCTCCGAAAGTAGGTAGAAACCTCCCTGCCGGCACCACCTTTCCCTCCAGGAGTAATTTTCCCTCTGGCAGTGGCTTTCCCTAAGGAAGTAGTTCCTCCTTCGGTAGCGGTTTTCCTTTCGGACACAATCTTCCCTCCGGCAGTGGCTTTTCTTAAGGAAGTAATTCCTCATCTGACAATGGCTTTTGCACCAACAATAGTTTTTCCTCCGACATCTACTTTTCCTCCAGAAGTAGCTCCTCTTCTAACAGTTTCTCTTCGGAAGTAGCCTCTTTTCCGACAGCTTCCCTCCAAAAGTAGCTTCTCCTTTTAGAAGTAGTTCCACCTTCGGAAGCAGATGATCCTTCGATAATGATTTTTTTGCTGACAACTTTCCTCCGAAAGCAACTCCTTGTTCAGAGGCAACTATTCCTTCGTTAGAGGATTTCAATCTGGCAGCTTTTATTCGGAAGTAACTCCTCCTCCGGATGTGGCCTTTTCTCTAGCCGTAGCTCTACTTCCGGTTAGCTTTTATCAGGCATGAGTTTCTCCTTTGGTAATGGCATTTGTCCCTGAAGAAGCCTCGTGTCTGGCAGTGGCTCCTCTGACCAGCCTCATTCCCATATGGTGTCTGACACCAATACATCTTACCGAAGACACTAAGTTCTCCCGCTCATTCTAGAAGTGCAGCAGGCTCCGACAGTAGTTCTTCACGGAGTCTATATGTATAAGTGTACCCCATGTCGAAGGTTGGATTTTAAAGGAACAAAATCATATTCAAGTAAGTCTTTAAACAAAAGGTCTTTGCCCCCTTTTACATGCATTATGTGCTTTCAAAGTTTCAGCAACAACACTTATGCAATGATTTTTGGAAATCATATGAGTTATACTTGAGAATGTGTTAACATCTAGGAAGAAAGTTTTCAAATTGATCGAGAATGCATGCATAACCCTAAAAGGGATCTTTATCATGAGCGTATATCACATCTGTAAGTAAATAGTTGGTAGAGATATTAATCTTTTAAATGATTTAAAAAGATTACTACCATCGAGTAAGTCACGCTCTCGAATTTTTCAACAAATATGTGTTAAATACAACACTATAGCAGGAATAAATAGATATTTACAAATAAAACCAAACTCATGCCCTTTACATGACTAAAAATCTCTTATGAAAATTTTGCTTTGGTCCAACACCATTGGGCAAAATAACAAGTGGCTTTCAACCTTTACTTTTGATTAAGTCAAGAGAAATATATGCATCACTTCTCATTTTAAATGAAAAATGCCTTTGTATTAATCATGCTTCCGAATGCATGTCAATATGAGATAAATTTTATAATATAAATTTCTTGCTTGCTCTCACTGATTAGTGCTTCCAAAGCCTTTCACCTTATCACTTGGAGCAGCTCTCTATCTTGAATTCCTCTTTCATTTTCTCATTAAAAAAAAAGGAAGAAAGGGAGAAATGGGGCTAGCGTGATAGTTGACCCCTTTTAGCTATGGTGTAATCTTCTTTTAACCTTATTGAAAGGCCTTTAAGATTAATGTGTTATTACCCTCTGGAAGAATAGCATAAGAATCTTCCAAACCCGCATACCTTGCTTTCGAGCCTTCACTTTCTCTTCACAAGCGAGATCAAAGTTTTGCACAGATAAGCAGTTTATATATATATATATATATATATATATAAGTGGATAAGTAAAGTACAATTAAAACATAATAAGTAAAGTCATCAAAGTAGATAATACATGCCAATACATCTATAATGAAACTACCTTAATAAAAATAACAAGTCAGTAACAAGTCACCCTACTCAAGAGAAGCAAAAGTAGCTTTCTGAATCACATCCTCATCAGAAATGGTACAGAAGTAATCCCTGTGAGCTGGGGGGAAGATGTTAGCAAACCAATCTCTTCGAAGATGGGAGCTGTTAAGTATAGATCCGGAACCTGTAATCTGAAATTCTGGATGGAACGGCTTAAACCCCATCACCGCAGATACAGATAGACCTATGAGCCATGCGATAAAGTTGAAGATCCTTCAAAAACCTCTCTAATTGGAGCAGCAACAGCTGGTCTTCCCCCTTCTTTCTCTTTCAATGAATCTTCCACAGCCAAAACTTTCTTCTTTGAAGATAAAGCCTTATTAGAAGCTAGAATTTCAACGTCTAGTGACGGGTCAATCGCCTTTAACCTCTTAAAACTTCCTTCGGTAGCAGACCCCTCCATCTCTTCACTAGATGAATTCGATTCCGCAGTGCCACCTGCGGAAGAGACATTCTTGCGTTTCGGACGCAGTGGGGAAAGAGCATTTGGAAGAACCTTTGCTTTCCAAGGAGAGATTGCCTGGGCGCCAGAAGGGTCTAAATCCTCATAATCCAAAAGTCAACAGCAGATACCACTACCAAAAAAAAAAAACAAATTAAATATAAATATAAGCAAACAACTTATTAGCAAAAATAACTAGTGGTGTTATGTAACAACAAACAAAGAAAGATATCAATACCCATACAAATACCTATATATATATATAATACAATGTGTAATATAATAAATAAAAATCAAATAACACATATCATAAAAGAAGAGCAAGGAGGGATGAAATAATAGAAGGGTGAAAGAAATATATAAAGAACACCCTACCCTGTCTAGACGAATCCTGAAACTCCGAGACTTCTTCCGAAACATTGAGATTGCTCATTCCGTAATAGATAAGTGCAGCTTTTGACAACACCTTACCAAACACAGAATGACCGACAAAAGACTGAACAACCAAAGCAGAGGAATCTGGAATCCTAGAGACATCCTTTATGGATGAGTCAGGATCTCCTCATACCATGTTCCCATTTAGTACACTATCTTTAACAAAGAAAAAGATATTACGCCAGCCTTTGAAACCAACCAAGACACCTCTTATGATGTCAGTCTCTTTGCAGTGCCTCAAAAAGGTATACCAATTCCCAGAAGGAGTAAACTTAAAAAAGTAAGACATAATACGGAAGGAAGGTTCCACACCTAAAGCCCTACTCGAAAGCTTATAACCAAGAACACGGGCCACAAAGTTAGGTGTAACCTGAGAAATATAAACACCATAGCGGTGTAAAACTTCTAAGAAAAAATGGCTAATAGGTAACCTAAGCCCAACATCAAAAAACTTGGTATAAATATCGACCATTCCATCCGGAGGGTTATCTATCGTCTAACCCTCACCAGGAAGAGAGGCACAAATACCATTTGGTATCCTATACCGCCTTTTAAAAATCTAAATTGTGAGTCACTCAATTCGGCAGTAAATATGTTGATGCCTAATTTAGGATTTGTCGATTGAACATCCCCTACACACCCTATCTCAATTGATAGAGTGCGCGCTCTTGTATGTTTGGCAAGCCACTAATTAACCAAACAAGTACAACTTCTTCAAGGCTTGGGAAGTCCAATCCCATACGCCAATATCTCCTTTCAAATATTGGAACACATTAAGTTATGAGTGTGCATTCTCACGTGTTTGGAATGTCGCCCATAAGCCGATCGACGTAAGCTCTCGTATGCTTGGCACATCCAACACCCTTATAGATGTTGACAGTAACTTTAAATAGTTACCAGCGCATATCCGATCTCTTCAGGATTCGGATGCACTCATGATAACACATAAAAAGGGAGCAACATGTCCTAAGCTTTTATAAAAAGCGGACGCACAAGAAGCGCACAAGCCAACTTTAATTGGTTGCCAAAACGCAACGTCATAAGTCTTACAAAGACAGACGAATGCTAGCACTCAAAATATGTCATGACAATTAAAATTACAGCAAGGCTCACCTTCACCCAAAGTGATCCGGAACTAAATTCCGGCAGCAAGTAGAAAATCTACTACCGAAAGCAAGAAATGTAACCTCTGTCTCAAACTTTGTGAACATTTTGAAAGTTAGTGTATTTACCTTTAATTTTCCTTTTAAATGCAAAAGGACAATCAAATTGCAAAATTCAAATTCTACCTTGTTAAAAAAAGGGGGGAGAAGACAGGGTTAACACACACTCATGTCATTAAAATCACGTGTAAAACTAGTAGTTCTCCAAAAGTAAACTCCCGAAGTGACCTCGGGTAAGCATAGTAAATAATAGGATAGAATTCACCTGAAAATATTGAAGTTTGACTTTAGGTAGTCCTGACAACTAGAAAACAATCCTTCTCTATGCTTGTGATTAGAAACCCTATCCTCACGTACAAATCACACTAAGATATATGATATTCTCATTGAAAATTGGGCAAACATTATAAATTATCATTATTTATATCTTAATTGATAGATTAGGTTGTAATCTTGGTTCCCTCCCTCACGTAGAGGAAAATAGGTTATCGCTCTTACTAAATCTATTCAATTCAAAACAATTATGACTATTAATGTCTTTATAAAAATGATCCAAATAAAGCCGTACCATACAAAAAGTAGCACCCATCCAATTCAAAATTCTATATAAAGAAAAGATACGTCTCTGCCCTTAGTTTTCTTAGCTATCAAGCCTTCAAAAGCACTCCACATGAACTTGGAGATGTGCTTAAAGCTAAAGTTGAAAATACATCCTTGGACACCTCACATCACCATTAATTTGGCCGAGGTTTCGTCCTCCGTACTCCAAAACATTAATACTCCTTCAATTTGACCAAATAATAAGTATTGTCTTGGTCCAAATGAACAAAGCAAAAGCCTTCTTTCACCTCACTAGGGTTTAGTAAAGCCTTCCAATAGCTATTCTAACTATAGAGCAACTCTAAAAGCTCATTTCTTCAAAGCTAATTCATACCCAAAAGATGTATCCCTACAGAACCCCACTGTTTAGAGTTGTAAATAACAATCAAAGCCACCCTAGTTCTGGATGACATGACTTCTTGGAACCATTATTATCTATGAAAGATCTATATGGATCGAAAGGATAGATAATCACAGGTCAACATGTTTCTCGTAACATCATCACTTATCTGGCTCCTAGACCTTTGTTTTGGATGCCACTTGTCTCCGACAACTCTCAAAGGACAACCACTTTTTAAAAAAGAAATTTTTTGACAACATTCAAGAGATTAATTAATAAAATGTCTCTACAACTTTAAAATTTATCATTATAGTTTAACCGCTTACTATGAGTCGCCTCAAAAACTATACCTTTATGCTTTGGTAGCATGTAGGTTCTGGATGCCATTGCTATACTTTTGTTCCGAAAATCCGAATTCTTCCGGACCCGTTGATATTCACTTTCATTGTTCCCTATTTTCTTGTTTCAAAAAAATGGGGAGAATGAGGTAGGATTAAACGTCTATGAGCCAAAACACTCGAAGTTTGGTAAACTTACACCTTTAATCCTTTGAATGAACCATTACTCTAGATGACCCTACCTTTGTCAAAAAGAAAATAAAAGAAAAGAAAAGCATAAGTCTCATTTAGAGATCATTGCCACAACAACTCTTTGACCTCTGAACGACCTTAGTCCTCTTCTAGACAACCATAAACATGCTTGTCTTATTCTAATTTTTCATCATCTCGGCAATCACTTAGCCTACAAATGATCATGAATCTCTTCCAGAAGCTCGTCACTTTTACCATGCCTTCGGATGAGTAGGTCTCCTCCGGAAGCCGAACGAGTTGATAATCACTCTACCTTCGGACGAGTATATGTCTCCTTCGGAATCCAGAAGCGTTGATACTCTACCTTCAGACAAGTATATGTCTCCTCCGGAAGCTAGAAGCGTTGATAATCACTCTGCCTTCAGACGAGTATATGTCTCCTTCGGAAGCCCATCACCTTAATAATTCTCTTCCCCTACATCTTGAAAGCATAAGCCTCTTTCAAATGGTTATTGCTAAAAAGTTCCTGCTTCAATCCAAATGCCGAATCTCTTTCTTCCGGCTCCTAATGCCGAAGCACTTTCTTCTAGCAACATGATGAATAAGTCTCATGCATATCTAACTAAACCTTCAACTTATTAAAAGCTCCTAGGTTAGAGATTCGAACTCGACCAAAAACCTAAAAGCCACAACAAGAATTCGAAAGTCTATAAGACTCTGGTTCGCTAAGACTTCCGTAACTTTGTTTAATCATCAAAAGGATTAACATTATCAAATCCATCATCTGTACGTGATAAGTGTTAAATTGGGAGTTGGAAAATATAGTATACTACTATAATTCCAGGTTTTGACCTCCCTTAATACAACAAGTACTTTTCAAGAAGGAAACTTTTTAATAATGTAGTAACCTCTGAAAGGTTTCAAAACCCTCTCCCTTGGACAAAATTCAGTTAATGCTATTTAGTTTGATGTCCATACAAATACTTGAATAAACATCAAACTAGGGGAGAATAATACTCATGGTATGACAATATAACATTTATTTTGTCATGAATTTCTCTTTCTTTAGTTCAGATAAATATAAACTCATATTACTAAAGAACTTATGTTTTCAAGTTCATCCTTCGCTCTTAATATAAGCGGACGATGAATCATTCGGAAGGTAGCCTTATCATTTTTTACTTAAAACCCTCTCGACAAATTCAACACGAACAAGTCAGAGGGAATAGGTGCATTATGACTTGATTTCCGCGGAAGTTAAGCACCGATACTTGGGGTTTTCATCTCTTCTCTACTTTCCGGAGCAAACCATTGCGACAAGTCCATAATGGTCAAGTCAAATAGCTAAACACACTAAAGACTTTCACTTTTGAAAGTCAAAATCAACTTACAGGGCTTAGGTATCCCATCCAATCGAATGTGACAAGTTCATCATGGACAAGTCAAATGGTCATACATACCTTAGTTTAACCTCTGCGGCAATTGATGCCACTCTTCTGAACTAAGGTGCTCTAGCACTTCTAGCTCGGGGCTTAGAAATTTGAGAAAATCCATATACTTAGAAATGATCAATCTTCACAATAACTATTATAAGCCATTTGGGTTTGTGGTTAAGCATAAAATGCTATTAAAGGAAAAAAATGTTCAAAACAACTGCTTCACAAAGTACAAATGAAAGAAAGCACTTGAGGGTCAACTCTTTCTCCAGTATTTAGCCCATTAGTAGAATCTGGTAAAAGCTCATGATTCCGGACTGCGGGGCTAGTTAAATGACCTTGTAGAAGCCAGAGTAGAAAGGTCCAGAGGAGGTCTAGCCCAGCCCACAAGCAGTACTTTGTACAAACCACTACTTTCGAACTGCGGGGCTAGTTGATGGGACCCATAGTCCCACTTGCTATGACCCGCATTATTCACCATGGGTCGGGTTGGGTCTAGTCAATAATAGATCTTGGCCCTTCATTTTAGCGTATCTCCTCTATAAATATTTTTTATCAGCCTGCAGGTAAAAGGTTCACATTCTTCTTTTTTATTCTATCTTCTACTTCACACCTCACCACCATGACTCCATGGTTGGTCTTACCTCTGCCCCATCTGACTTGGGCGTCAAAGTTCGATCCCGGGGTACACACCCATGATGAGCACTGACCCTTTTCTTTCTTACAGGTTTCACCATCAATCCATATACCAAGAGAAGGCCTAGCGGCAATTGTAGATGGAGTCCAGGACATGGTTCTCACATTGCCATTTATTGGCTTCCATCACTCATGGGTTTTGTTGAAGCAATCATCAATGCATTCATTACTCATATCAATCAGATCTTGGAGGGTTGGGGTAAGAGAGGCATCGAGGAATTTTTCATATGGATTGGGTTCTCCTCCGCCGAAATTCCACGGCATGAATCTCGCCGATTCAGTGCAATCGGTGCCGG